ACCTCATGGCTTTTGCTCTGACAGATACTGTCAACTTTTGGACCTTTTTATACAGACAGGTGTGTGTGTGTGTGTGCCTTTCCAAATCATGTCCAGTCAATTGAATTTACCACAGGTGGACACCAATCAATGGAAACAGGATGACCCGGAGCTCAATTTATAATCTCATAGCAAAGGGTCTGAATATTTATGTAAATAAGGTATTTTTGTATTTGTAATATTTGCAAAAAGTAAAAATAACTTTTCGCTTTGTCATTATGGGGTATTGTGTGTGTGTGTTTAATTTTTTTTTGTATGGTTGTAATGTAACAAAGTGGAAAAAGTCAAGGGGTCTGAATACTTTACGAATGCACTGTGGTGGTTCTGTCACAAAATGAAATTAGGTGAACTTTTTATTTTAGCAACCAGGAATTGATGGAGCGATTTCTGCATAGTGCATATAAACTCAGCAAAAAAAGAACCATCCTCTCACTGTCAGCTGCGTTTATTTTCAGCAAACTTAACATGTGTAAATATTGGTATGAACATAACAAGATTCAGCAACTGAGACATAAACTGAACAAGTTCCACAGACATGTGACTAACAGAAATTGAATAATGTGTCCCTGAACAAAGGGGGGGTCAAAATCAAAATTAACAGTCAGTATCTGGTGTGGTCACCAGCTGCATTAAGTACTGCAGTGCATCTCTTCCTCATGGACTGCACCAGATTTGCCAGTTCTTGCTGTGAGATGTTACCCCACTCTTCCACCAAGGCACCTGCAGGTTCCCAGACATTTCTGGGGGGAATGGCCCTAGCCCTCACCCTCCGATCCAACAGGTCCCAGACATGCTCAATGGGATTGAGATCCGGCCTCTTCGCTGGCCATGGCAGAACACTGACATTCCTGTCTTGCAGGAAATCAAGCACAGAACTAGCAGTATGGCTGGTGGCATTGTCATGCTGGAGGGTCATGTCAGGATGAGCCTGCAGGAAGGGTACCACATGAGGGAGGAGGATGTCTTCCCCGTAACGCACAGCGTTGAGATTGCCTGCAATGACAACAAGCTCAGTCCGATGATGCTGTGACACACCGCCCCAGACCGTGACGGACCCTCCACCTCCAAATCGATCCCGCTCCAGAGTACAGGCCTCGGTGTAACGCTTATTCCTTCGACGATAAACGCGAATCCGACCACATCTGCAGTCCTCATGCCTCCTTGCAGCATGCCTAAGGCACGTTCACGCAGATGAGCAGGGACCCTGGGCATCTTTCTTTTGGTGTTTTCAGAGTCAGTAGAAAGGCCTCTTTAGTGTCCTAAGTTTTCATAACTGTGACCTTAATTGCCTACACTCTGTAAGCTGTTAGTGTCTTAACGACTGTTCCACAGGTGCATGTTCATTAATTGTTTATGGTTAATTGAACAAGCATGGGAAACAGTGTTTAAACCCTTTACAATGAAGATCTGTGAAGTTATTTGGATTTTTACGAATTATCTTTGAAAGACCGGGTCCTGAAAAAGGGACGTTTCTTTTTTTGCTGAGTTTATTATGATGTATTGGCCTTCAAGTTTTTTTGTCTGTTTGTGCACAGAAATACATTTCTCCAGGCAAGCCAAAGTTCGCAAGCCAAAGTCTATGCCCCTTTGTCGGTGATTGCTCAACAGTAGGGATTCTTCAATTAAGTGTTTGTCATTCAACGATAGACGACTCGTTTTATGCAAATTTTTGCACTTGAGAAATACTGCACCAAACATACTAGTTGGATACAAAAATGTCAATGACAGATTTCTTGAGTTATCTTAGATTAATGCTGACTATTTTGAGGAAGTGTATACTGGCTACAGCCTCTCAAGATGGACAAACGGTACTATTGCCGCTTTTTCAGAGTTTGTGAAGCGAAGGTCGTTGGTATGGGAGCACACTCGTTCGATTCGCCAGCCGAACCAAAGGATGTGGAATCCTTAAGTGTCATAGTACTCAGGAAAACGGGCACGTCCTTTTGTCTGACCACACTTTGAACTGGAGTAGACCAAGTCACCAGGGCAGTCCGGGCTCACATACATGCAGTGGATGATGTCAATGTACCAGTTTTAGTCCTAGTGTCGTCTGCAGCAGTATCATGTGGTTCATCTTCATATTGACTCCTGAAGTAGACATGTTTTCCTCTGAGTATGTCTGCTTCTGTCAACTGGCTATTCCCCTCAGTCTTTGGTGGGGTCTCTCTCGACCAGCTAGTCTGCCCTGCATAGTGCATACCGTCCTCCCTACCAGCAGCACTGACAAAAACAGGGAAGGGGGCAGTCTTGAACTCCAACTACCCCAAAGGGATTCCTGTCAGGAATGCTACAGGTGGGCCATAATGGGGTCAAGTCCTACCTTCTAATGTTCAGGAACATTTGATATGGGCAATGGGAAAAGCTGTACTGTTCGATTGGGAATCCAGCCATTTTTGTTTCTCTGCTTCTCTCCCTCCATTTCTCCCTGTGGCAGCTACAAGGTATTCTCAGTCACATCATGTCATGTTCATATACTGGTCAGAGTTACAGTTGCTCCACAGAATGATTTACATGTAGTGGGAGCCTTTGCCGTCTGGCATTCCTATGTCACAAGAATGTCACTCTTATCTTCCCTTCCATACTTAGCCCATGCTGGGGATTGGTGCCACGTATCTCCTTCCCCTTGTGCCCTGATTCCTTCTTTTCATCACTCAATGGCACAAGAGCTGCTCCATTCTCATGCATTCAAGGAGAAGTCTCCAGTTTCATTGCACTGCCCACAGAAGAAAGGCAGCCATAAGCAGGGTTGGAAATTAACACCTGCCAAATGCGGGTACATTTTGTAATTTGCGGGTAAGAATGTATTTTTCACCAGCCACGTTGGCGGGTGGTCACACAGAGCATTTGGGAATTATTATTTTTTTAAATCCAAAGGTCACATGTAGAAGTTGGTCGAATTGACAAGAAAGACTACTAAAGTGTGACTTTGTCCTTGTGTTTCTTGGTCAGTTATATATTGTGTTCACACGCTAGGTTGTTTTTTTATGTTCGTTTGAGTTTGCTGCAACTGTCTGCTGCTAGGAAGACATCGCCGTCTGAGATTTTTTTTCTCCATATCAAATCAAACAAGGGAGTGCCCAAGTTACCACGGTAACGGCCCGTCTCTTAAAGCAGCACCTGAACATTTTTGTCTCACCTAATGATTGTGCTTGATTTGAGCATGGATCACTCCTAAACTTTTTGATTTGATTAACTTTTAGTCATTTATCATTATAACACTCATACTTTAAATGTTCTCCTAGATTTATTTGTGTGCTTCTACATTTCTACTTAGAAGTACTACTTGTAAAAAAATATATAGAAATCTCAGCATAGACCCCTGAACTATAATAATAAATAAGCCATATCAGTCTTTTGTGGTGGAGTAGGTACTTTGTTGGTTCTTGATGTTCAGTTGTAGATAGAAAAGTAAAAACAGAAACAGTTCTACATCTATTTTCTTTTAACATTGGTTAAAAGACGCAGGTCACAAAAATTAAATTAAATGAAGCTATATACCCCATTTTACTTCTTACTAGTGATACATTTATGGTTTTAGAAAAACATAAAGCATGCTCATCCGTAGTTGTTTTTTTGTTGGAAATTTTTTTTGGGCTGGTAAAAAATCTGAGTGTCTGGTAGATGTTTTTGTTTTTATCTACCTGCCACAGTGGCTGGTGGACCAACATTTTAATTTCCCACCCTGGCCATAGGGCCACACATTACATTTACATTTTAGTCATTTAGCAGATGCTCTTATCCAGAGCGACTTACAGTTAGTGAGTGCATACATTTTTCATACTGGCCCCCCGTGGGAATCGAACCCCCAACCCTGGCGTTGCAAACCGCCATGCTCTACCAACTGAGCTACACGGGGGGCTCGCTGCTAGGCTTGTCCTTGGTGTGTTTTAGAGGTCACACAATGGGCAGGCTCCCCATCTGGCCCTCTAACATGGTTAACCTAACCTTGTGTAATGGTGTGTCTCATCATCTGAATGAATGACAGGACCATAAGGTCAGGCTGAGCCACAGTTTCCCAATCTCCCCTAGCTAGTAGGCCCATTAAATGTAGCAAAATCTACACTACTACCTGTCCCTAGTGCGCAAATCCTGCACACATTCGTCCCAGTGTTGTTTAGTGTAGTGGGATATCGATGGTACAGATTGCTGTGTGTACTGTGATTCTGAACACTGCTCTGAGGCTGTGTTATTGAGAGCTCTGCTCAGGATCCATGACTTGAGGCCTACCCAGCCAGGTGCAACAGTGACACAGCGGTAATATGATAGAGGGTCCGGGTGAGACATACAGGGAAGGGGTAGAAAGGAGGAGGGAGGGGCAGGTTGTACTGGAAATTAATACTGTCCATTCTTCTTGCTTTTCCTCTGCCTCTTTTCCCTGTTTTTAATCCCCCTCTAATTTCCCATGAGTGTTGTCACATGCCAGTGCAGGGTGGGGAAGAGGGAGTGTTGGCGGCAGAGAGCCAAGTCTGGGCCGACACTGCCACTGAGAATCTCCCAGCATTCCTTAGAGGGTTTTTTCCAAGTCAATTCAAAAACCCTAAATAATTTCTTATAATTTTTACAGATGTTATTTCACTCTGAAATCACTAGTTGATTTGCAGTTTATATTGTGGTGTTGGGTTTGTAATGGTGAGCCTGCAGACTCAACAGACAGCTCCTCATGGACTCTTACTCCAGGCCTCTTGATGGTTGGTTGGTGGAGTGAAGTCATACAGTTGTGCTGAGCTGTGGCCTGCAAATTGACTGAGGAGTTGCTGGAGAATTGCTGCACCAAATCAGGCTATAACATGTTGGTTCATAGAAATTGAATGATTCATTCTATTTCTGTGTTAGCTATGTAAAATGAGACGTGTCTGTTTTGTCAGTGCTATCTGCCAGTCCTACTGGTGTGTTACTTGCCCTTCAAGACTGTAATACATGTTTTATTAAACAGATTAATGGGGTCATAAAAATGTTGGTCATAACATGCGTCTGTCTTGTTTTTCAGTGGGGAAGACTTCATTGATTACCAGGTTCATGTACGACAGCTTCGACAACACCTATCAGGTGAGGCTAGACTACAGACACAATTTAATCTGGATATGATAGTTAGGGCTAGGTTTATGACGTCATTGGTCTCAATGCCTGACCCTAGTCCTGGTCCTACTACAGCGTCAGCAGGCTTTTACTCCAGACCAACACTAACACACTTGATTCAGCTAGTCGGTCTTTATGAATAGCCATTTGAGTCAGGTGTGTTAGTGCTGGGCTTGACTGCACTGTAAAAAAAAATTATAGTTTCAACTAATTTATTATTATTAAGTAACTGGTTCCACAGCCTTTTTATTTTATTTTTATTCAACTGTTTGGTAAGTGTTACCTGAACTTAAAATGTTTAGTTGGCCAAAACTTGGCTCCAACTTATGCTGGAAAAGGCATTGTTCATCACCAAACTGTTCTTGGATGGTTGGGAGAAGTTGCTCTCGGAGGATGTGTTGGTACCACTCTTTATTCATGGCTGTGTTCTTAGGCAAAATGGTGAGTGAGCCCACTCCCTTGGCTGAGAAGCAACCCCACACATGAATGGTCTCAGGATGCTTTACTGTTGGCATGACACAGGACTGATCGTAGCGCTCACCTTGTCTTCTCCCGACAAGCATTTTTCTGGATGCCCCAAACAATCAGAAAGGGGATTCATCAGAGAATGTTTTACCCCAGTCCTCAGCAGTCCAATCCCTGTACCTTTTGCAGAATATCAGTCTGTCCCTGATGTTTTTCCTGGAGAGAAGTGGCTTCCTCGCTGCCCTTCTTGACTCCAGGCCATCCTCCAAAAGTCTTCGCCTCACTGTGCGTGCAGATGCACTCACACCTGCCTGCTGCCATTCCTGAGCAAGCTCTGCACTGGTGGTTAGCCAAAAAGAACATCAAGGATATCAACCACCCGAGCCACAGCCTGTTCACACCGCTATCATCCAGAAGGCGAGGTCAGCACAGGCGCATCAAAGCTGGGATCGAGAAACTGAAAAACAGCTTCTATCTCCAAGGCCATCACTGTTAAATAGCCATCACTAGCCGGCCTCCACCCAGTACCCTGCCCTGAACTTAGTCACTAGCCGGCTACCACCCGGTTACTCAACCCTGCACCTCAGAGGCTGCTGCCCTATGTACATAGACATGGAATCACTGGTCACTTTAATAATGGAACAATAGTGACTTTAATAATGTTTACATACTGTTTTACTCATTTCATATGTATATACTGCATGCTAGTCAATGCCACTCAGACATTGCTTGTCTTAATATTGATATCTCTTGTTTTTTTTCCTCATTTCTTTTAAATGTGTGTATTTGTATTGTTGTGAATTGTTAGATCCTACTGCACTGTTGGAGCTAGGAACACAAGCATTTCGCTACACCCACAATATAATCTGCTAAATATATACAGTTGAGAGAATGTCAAGAATGTGCAAAGCTGTCATCAAGGCAAAGGGTGGCTACTTTGAAGAATCTAAAATATATTTTGATTTGTTTAACACTTTTTTGGTTACTACATGATTCCATATGTGTTATGTCATAGTTTTGATCTCTTCACTATTATTATACAATGTAAAAAAAGAGTAAAAATAAATAAAAACCCTTGAATGAGTAGGTGTGTCCAAACCTTTGACTGGTACTGTATATATTTAGCAGATGATATTGTGGGTGTAGCGAAATGCTTGTGTTCCTAGCTCCAACAGTGCAGTAGGATCTAACAATTCACAACAATACAAATACACACATTTAAAAGAAATGAGGAAAAAAAACTAGAAATATATCAATATTAACACAAGCAATGTCTGAGTGGCATTGACTAGAATGCAGTATATACATATGAAATGAGTAAAACAGTATGTAAACATTATTAAAGTCACTATTGTTCCATTATTAAAGTGACCAGTGATTCCATGTCTATGTACATAGGGCAGCAGCCTCTGAGGTGCAGGGTTGAGTAACCGGGTGGTAGCCGGCTAGTGACTAAGTTCAGGGCAGGGTACTGGGTGGAGGCCGGCTAGTGATGGCTATTTAACAGTGATGGCCTTGAGATAGAAGCTGTTTTTCAGTCTCTCGATCCCAGCTTTGATGCGCCTGTGCTGACCTCGCCTTCTGGATGATAGCGGTGTGAACAGGCTGTGGCTCGGGTGGTTGATATCCTTGATGATCTTTTTGGCTATCCTGTGACATCGGGTGCTTTAGGTTTCCTGGAGGGTAGGCTATGTGCCCCTGGTGATGCGTTGTGCTGACTGCACCAGCCTCTGGAGAGCCTTGCGGTTGTGGGTCGTGCAGTTGCCGTACCAGGCGGTGATACAGCCCGACATGATGCTCTCAATGGTCCATCTGTAAAAGTTTGTGAGGGCCAAGCAACATTTCTTCAGCCTCCTGAGGTTGAAGAGGCGCTGTTGTGCCTTCACCACGCTGTCTGTGTGGGTGGACCATTTCAGATTGTCAGTGGTTTGTACGCCGAGGATCTTGAAGCTTTTCACCTTCTCCACTGCGTTCCCGTCGATGTGGATGGGGGTGTGCTCCCTCTGCTGTCTCCTGAAGTCCACGATCAGCTGCTTGTTTTGTTGATGTTGAGGGAGAGCTTATTTTCCTGGCACCACTCCGCCAGGGCCCTCACCTCCTCCCTGTAGGCTGTCTCGTCATTGTTGGTAATCAGGCTTACTACTGTTGCGTCGTCTGCAAACTTGATCATTGAGTTGGAGGCGTGCGTGGCCACGTAGTCATGGGTGAACAGGGAGTACCCTTGTGGGGCCCCTTTGTTGAGGATCAGCGTAGTGGAGGTGTTTCCTACCTTCACCACCTTGGGGCGGCCCGTCAGGAAGTCCAGGAACCAGTTGCACAGGGTGGAGTTCAGACCCAGGGCCCCAAGCTTAATGATGAGCTTGAAGGGTACTATGGTGTTGAAGGCTGAACTGTAATGCGATGGCAATTGCATCAGCTGTGGATCTATTGGGACGTTATGGAAATTGAAGTGGGTCTAGGGTGTCAGGTAAGGTGGAGGTGATATGACATAAGTGAGTGCTACGGGGCGATAGTTATTTAGTTCCGTCACCTTTGCTTTCTTGGGTACAGGATCAATGGTGGCCATCTTGAAGCAAGTGGGAACAGCAGACTGGGATAGGGAGAGATTGAATATGTCCGTAAACACTCCAGGCAGCTGGTCTGCGCATGCTCTGAGGACGCGACTAGGGATGCCGTCTGGGCCGGCAGCCTTGCGAGGGTTAACAAGCTTAAATGTCTTACTCACATTGGCAATGGAGAACGAGAGCCCACAGTCCAAGAGCCCACTGTGTTATCCTCAAAACGGGCGAAGAAGGTGTTTAGCTTGTCCGGCAGCAAGATGTTGGTGTCCGCGACGTGGCTGGTTTTCCCTTTGTAATCCATGATTGTCTGGAGTCCCTGCCACATACATCTCGTGTCTGAGCCGTTGAATTGCGACTCCACTTTGTCTCTTATTTGGGCACCTTCACTAAAAAAGTATGTGGAACTAGTTACACACACAATGCTTTTGACATACAATGTTTTCAACTTAAATATTTGACACATGTTGACATGCATGATTACATTGTGCATGTTCATTTTATACAGTAATTGTTATTCAACATGTCTGAGCCGACAAGGTGAAAAATCTGTCTGTGCCCTTGAGCTTAACCCTAATTTGCTCAGGGGTGGATGACCCTTTCACTTCACAGCATTCCAATCTTCCTGCTACGCCACCATGTCTGTGTCTATTATCAGTTAATCTGACTATTCTCTCATCATTGATTTGATTTGCTCATTTCAGCAATTTGGGGGTTTTCTGTATAGTTGTCTAATGTTGTGTGGCATATTACTCTGTTTTAATGTTACTCCTTAATCACTATGATAAATAAAATAGTTTTACTTGAATGTATTTTTAACAGAGCCGAGATTTACTTTGAATTGCAAAGTGTAGCAAATATAGGTGAAATCAGTCATTGACACATACATGGTGGTGTAGCAGGAAGATCGGTACGCCGTGAACCAAGAGAGTTCAAATCCCAGGTGAGGACATGTCGAATAATAATTACTGTATAAATTAATATGCGCTCACTACAGATCCCGGCTCGATCCTGGGCTGTGTCACAGCCGGCCGCGACCGGGAGACCCATGATGCGACGCACAATTGTCCCAGCGTCGTCCGGGTTAGGGGAGGGTTTGGGCAGCCGGGATGTCCTTGTCCCATCATACTCTAGCGACTCCTGTGGCGGGCTGGACGCATGCACGCTGACACTGTTGCCAGTTGTACGGTGTTTCCTCCGACACATTGGTGCGGCTGCCTTCCAGGTTAAGCGAGCAGTGTGTCAAGAAGCAGTGTGGCTTTGCAGGGTCGTGTTTCGGAGGATGCATGGCTCTCGACCTTTGCCTCTCCCGAGTCCGTACGGGAGTTGCAGCGACGGGACAAGACTGTAACTACCAATTTGGATATCACGAAATTGGGGAGAAAAGGGGGTATAAAAAAAATATAATCATATTTTTAAAAATGAATATGCACAATGTAATCATGAATGTCAGCGTCTGTCAAATATGGAAGTTGAAAACATTGTAGCCTGTCAAAAGCACCGTGTGTAACTAGTTCCACAGCCTTGTTTAGTGAAGATGCCCAAATAATAATTTCTAGTTGAAGGAACATGAGTTGAGCGCAAACATCATTTAAAGTTGACTGAATTTTTGCCTACTTTTTTTCAAAGTTGGAGCTAATTTTGGCCCAACTAAATAAGTTAAGTTCAGCTAACACTTTGATCGAAAAGTTGAGTAAACGCTGTGGAACCAGTTACTTAATAATAATGAGTTTAACTTTTTTTTAAGTGTATAGGCAATATGTTTGTTCCTTCATTTCAGTTTAGTTTAACTACAGTACTAAAGCCTTTCCTTATCAATCTACCATCATAATTGTTAGGAGAACATTGTCTCATTCTCTTCATTCTTTTACATTTCCAGGCCACAATAGGAATAGATTTTTTGTCAAAAACCATGTACCTCGAAGACAGAACAGTAAGTTTTACTTTCTCTTTTTTAAATTCCATGAAGTGCTAATATGCTGATTTGTCATAATATACTGATTATGAGTGGAATTGGTTCATATTTAAGTGAGTCTGTGTTAGTCATGACTGTGGCATTATGTTATCATTTTACTGAGTAATGTTACATTTCATTATGGTGATTTTGAAAATGTCTCCCTTCAATCCAGTCTCATTGAAATTAAAAGATGTACCCATTCACTGGCACGCACGCACACCCCCCCCACCCAATCACACAGGTCTCTGAGTCCGTACTGTATCCTTGCCACTGGTGGTTTCTGGGACTTTGGGGATCCTGGGTATCCTGTGACCTGATTCTGTCTGCTCTAACGGTGTCTTTTCCTGGCCCAAGTTCACACACTAGAACCTTAAAGAAGCCGGAGAGTCGTCCGGGCCTGGGATTGGAGCCTACCTTGTATCTTCCTTCCTGCTAGCTTTCTCTCCTCCAGACAAACTCATGCTTTTCTTCCCTTTTTCCCATCTGCTCATATTCTCTTCATTCTCATGTTGAAATTAAACATCAAGCTTGAACGAGTGAAGAACGTTTCAGCTTGAACGAGGGAAGAAGGTTTCAGAAATGAGGCCTAGTACCCATGATTCCCCTGGCCCTCACCACTCCTCCTATGGTCACACACTCCCTGCATGCAGCCCTCGCTTTCTCGCTTTCTCTCATAAGTTGATTCAGTTTTATTTCTTTACTCTTTATGGTTTCTTACCTCATGTTTTTTTGCGCTCGTTTTCTCTCATTTTCTTTTCATCCTTTCTTTTTCCTTTTCCTTTATTTCTCCTCCCATCCGCCACAGATCAGGTTGCAGCTGTGGGATACGGCTGGGCAGGAGCGTTTCCGTAGCCTCATCCCCAGTTACATCAGAGACTCCGCCGCCGCTGTTGTAGTATACGACATCACAAGTAGGTACTCCCCTCCGCGCCCCGCCCACTCGACGTGCGTGCGTGACCCTCCCCACCCCTCCTCAACCCTCGTCCAGTTCTCCCCTCTCTTACCACCACCTCTTCCTCTCCTCCCCTCTTGCCCCTCTCCTCCATCTCTCCCCTTCTCCTTCTCTCCCTGTGTGCTGGTGCTAACATGCTGCTCAGGTGAGACTGCAGCTTTGGGACACAGCCGGCCAGGAGCGCTTCCGGAGTCTGATTCCTAGCTACATACGAGACTCCACCGTGGCCGTGGTAGTCTATGACATCACAAGTGAGTGCGGCCCCTATTGATGGAAAAGTGATGGAAGGATGCCGACCAAAACAGAAAGATGTCCTCATTTTTCACCGCTGGCTCAAGTCCCTCTTATTTTTTTCTGTTTTCCCATCCTCCTTTTCATCCTTCCAGATATCTTTTCTCCCTTTTTGTCCCCTTTTCTTGTTTGTTGATGTTTTCCTCCCACTCTTTTTTTGTATGCGAGTCCAATTGGACACATTCTTAATTTTTTAAAGTTAACTTTTTGCATAATTGTTGTCTGTGAAAGCTTCTCTGTTTCTGTAATAAATAGAAAAAGATTAGACTAATCTGTTTATTGATACTAGGAGCGCAAAGCATTCGGTAGGATATTACATGCAACCCAATTAGGCTACAATATCAGTCGGTTAAATCTATAATACTAAAGAACTATTGAATTAATCAATAGTCTAGTGGTTTCCTAGATTTGTGGTCATGAATACATGAATGGCAGATTTATCATCTTGTTTTCCCCCAACAGAGCAACCTCATCTCTTTTCAAGCTTTCCTTTTTATCTTGAGTTCTCTGTGCCTATCGTTCTTAATGTCTGTTTTTTTCCATTATGGCCACCTATGACTTCCTAGTTCTGTTGTCACACATGTACAAAAGAATGGAATCTCTTATTGGTTTCATTCAAAATAATTGATATTGGCAGCTTTGATGTTGCTTCAGAGGCCTATTTTGCCACAATATGAAATAACATATTTCGGGAATTGCAGGCTTTCAATGTAATGTTCAGAGATGTCACCTTTTTCACGTCTCCCCTACCATGTGTGTCTGTGAGGACCGTTAGGGGGGAGATACTGTGTAAGGAGACATGGAGCTGCAGCAGGGCTATTTAACTGGAGGAGGAAGTCTGTCTCTTCAGAAAAACAGACACCACATCTAGCTTGACAGACGAGAGGATAGACAGTAAGGTAGAATACAAGGATATGGCTAAATAATAAGAGTAGCCTAGATGGATAAATAGAAAGGAAATGGGAGCTGGATTTACTTAGTTTAATGATACATTATTTGTTGTCACTGTCTCTATATTTGCACTGTCTTTCTGTCCTTCTGCTCATTACCATAATTCAGTACTTGTCACAACATGGAGATTAACATTGAACTCCCCATCCCTCTCTCCTCTTGCATCAGACGTCAACTCTTTCCAGCAAACCACAAAATGGATTGATGATGTCAGAACGGAGAGAGGAAGTGATGTCATCATCATGCTGGTGGGAAACAAGACTGACCTTGCAGACAAAAGGTGTGACATAATAACGGAAGGGTGATGTCAGTGTAGAGTGTCAGTAAGCCTGTGGAGCTCTTCAGTCCTCCTCAGACCAGGTCCTGGAGGGCTCTCTCCATTAGAGCATACTAATGATTTGACTGATTGTTACTGTAGAGTGATTAAGACTGGCGCCACAGTGAGTTCCTGACTGAGACCTTTAGGCCCTCCTGTGTTTAGCGAGAGAAACACTGCCGTTTAGGGACAGCAGAGCAGGGACTTATAAGCCTTGTCTCTTGGTACAGGCTCTCTAGAGACAGATCTGGCTGGGGTTGAATAGTCCACAAACAGAGACAGCCTTTAGAGCTCAGCATGGGCTAGAATTATTTTAAGTATTCAGAGATTCAACAGATCATTGCATGTCTCTTGAGTCATGTCTTATCCATTTGTGTGTTCAAACAATTGTGATAACGAAACCGCCCTTTTTATTTTAACACATGGTTTGCCACTATAACCCTCTGCTTTTATGCCTTAAAACAACTTCTTTGTACTATACCAATTTTTTTTGTGATTGATTGATGCTGTCTACAGCATGTCAAATTATTGACATGCTGTAGATTCTCTATGAACTGACCGTAAGCTGCTGTTCTGCGTGTTTAACCCTCTTATCTACCACAGGCAAGTTGCTATTGAAGAGGGTGAGAGGAAGGCCAAAGAGCTAAATGTAATGTTTATTGAGACTAGTGCTAAAGCAGGATACAACGTCAAGCAGGTGAGTGTGTGTGTGTGTGTGTGGCTGAGTCGTGCTCTCCGTCCATGCTGCTACTGCCTCCGCTCACTCTTGAAAAGGGCACTCATCACAGTCAGAGGTTTAGGGTCAAATGCTACAATAATGATGGATGGGAAGGTCTAGTTAAGCCCAAACCTTATATGGAATATGTAAGGTCATTAGAATTTGTGAAACCGCTTGCACAGGCACATTCTATAATACCCATTGATTGACCGTTTTAGATTTAAGAGCCTTTCATTTGAATCCTATGTGGTGTATTGAACCTGGAGCTAAGTTGGTGCTCTGAGGTGTTTTAGAGAGAGTCTGGCTGTGTGGGCACTTTTAGACGGAGCAGAGGTTGCAGCAGCGATAGCAGGAGGAAACACGGCATGTTCATCATTCACTTCATGATCTTCACTTTTCTTTTGTTTTTTCTCGTTCATGTGTTTTTGTACGTATGTGTGGGTACCTGTGTGTGTCTGTTGTTGTGGGACATTGCAGACAGATAACCACAGAGGAAGGGGAACAGCGAGCCAAAGAGCTGAATGTTTTGTTTATTGAAACAAGTGCAAAGACAGGCTACAATGTCAAACAGGTAGAGCGCAGCATGGGTGTGTGTGTGAAGTGTGCAGTGCTCATGCTCTCTTAACGCTGGCTTGCTTTACACTAAATGGGATCCTTGGATTAGTCTCAGAACTCTTGCCCATCCATCCCATGTTGACCATAATAACTAAAGACCAGAATGTTCCCCCAGGCACACTGGGACAGACCATCCACTTTGGCCTTAGGTCTGGTGGATGGGATATACAGTGGGGAGAACAAGTATTTGATACACTGCTGATTTTGCAGGTTTTCCTACTTACAAAGCATGTAGAGGTCTGTAATTTTTATCATAGGTACACTTCAACTGTGAGAGACGGAATCTAAAACAAAAATCCAGAAAATCACATTGTATGATTTTTAAGTAATTAATTTGCATTTTATTGCATGACATAAGTATTTGATCACCTACCAACCAGTAAGAATTCCGGCTCTCACAGACCTGTTCGTTTTTCTTTAAGAAGCCCTCCTGTTCTCCACTCATTACCTGTATTAACTGCACCTGTTTGAACTCGTTACCTGTATAAAAGACACCTGTCCACACACTCAATCAAACAGACTCCAACCTCTCCACAATGGCCAAGACCAGAGAGCTGTGTAAGGACATCAGGGATAAAATTGTAGACCTGCACAAGGCTGGGATGGGCTACAGGACAATAGGCAAGCAGCTTGGTGAGAAGGCAACAACTGTTGGCGCAATTATTAGAAAATGGAAGAAGTTCAAGATGACGGTCAATCACCCTCGGTCTGGGGCTCCATGCAAGATCTCACCTCGTGTGGCATCAATGATCATGAGGAAGGTGAGGGATCAGCCCAGAACTACACGGCAGGACCTGGTCAATGACCTGAAGAGAGCTGGGACCACAGTCTCAAAGAAAACCATTAGTAACACACTACGCCGTCATGGATTAAAATCCTGCAGCGCACGCAAGGTCCCCCTGCTCAAGCCAGCGCATGTTCAGGCCCGTCTGAAGTTTGCCAATGACCATCTGGATGATCCAGAGGAGGAATGGGAGAAGGTCATGTGGTCTGATGAGACAAAAATAGAGCTTTTTGGTCTACACTCCACTCGCCGTGTTTGGAGGAAGAAGAAGGATGAGTACAACACCAAGAACACCATCCCAACCGTGAAGAATGGAGGTGGAAACATCATTCTTTGGGGATGCTTTTCTGCAAAGAGGACAGGACGACTGCACCGTATTGAGGGGAGGATGGATGGGGCCATGTATCGCGAGATCTTGGCCAACAACCTCCTTCCCTCAGTAAGAGCATTGAAGATGGGTCGAGGCTGGGTCTTCCAGCATGACAACAACCCGAAACACACAGCCAGGGCAACTAAGGAGTGGCTCCATAAGAAGCATCTCGAGGTCCTGGAGTGGCCTAGCCAGTCTCCAGGCCTGAACCCAATAGAAAATCTTTGGAGGGAGCTGAAAGTCCGTATTGCCCAGCGACAGCCCCGAAACCTGAAGGATCTGGAGAAGGTCTGTATGGAGGAGTGGGCCAAAATCCCTGCTGCAGTGTGTGTGCAAACCTGGTCAAGACCTACAGGAAATGTATGATCTCTGTAATTGCAAACAAAGTTTTCTGTACCAAATATTAAGTTCTGCTTTTCTGATGTATCAAATACTTATGTCTTGCAATAAAATGCAAATTAATTGCTTAAAAATCATACAATGTGATTTTCTGGATTTCTGGAAATTACAGACCTCTACATGCTTTGTAAGTGGGAAAACCTGCAAAAATCGGCAGTGTATCAAATACTTGTTCTCTCCACTGTACATGTTTAAAAAATAAAATAAATCCTCACCCCAGGTTTGATTTGAAGTGATTTCTCCGACCAGTATCAAAGGATTATATTTAAATAATTAGATCTGCATGATCTTAAACTCCTTTCCAGCAGGTATGGGATGGTATTTAACCCTGAGGAGGAAATGTATATGTTTACTGCTGTCCACCTTAAACCAATTGACATGTATTTAATTCAATGCCTCTAATGACCAGGGTTGTGACGGTCATGGAATTTTGGATGACTAATTGTTCAGCCAAATGACAGCCGTCATCGTAATAACCGCTTGGAATAGCAAAACAATTCACATTTTCTCCTCTACTCCACTCCTGACTGCATGTGCTGCTGCTGCAGGCTAGGTTGAAGATAACAAAGGTTAGGACAAGTCTAACAGAACAGATAGATAGCAATAAAAACTGAAACATAGAGGCTCAGAATAAATTAGAGGAAAAACTAAAAGAAATGGAGAAACTTATTCAAGAAAGATCAAGTGTAATATATTATCAAAATAAAGCAAACTGGATGGAATATGGGGAAAAATGCATCAAATTATTTTTTTATAATAATAATATGCCATTTAGCAGACGCTTTTATCCAAAGCGACTTACAGTTATGTGTGCATACATTTTTACGTATGGGTGGTCCCAGGGATCGAACCCACTACCCTGGCGTTACAAGCGCCATGCTCTACCAATTGAGCTACAGAGGACAATTTTTAAAAACATTTTTTATCTTCAACATAGGAATGCTACCAAAAAGAATTTATTGAAACTGGTTACAAATGACGGAGTCACCCATGATTCACCAAATTATATTTTGAAGGAGGAAACAAAGTACTTTAAGCATATGTTTTCGTTTCAGTCGCCACCATCTCCTCTAACTGAAGCAAATTGTAGAGATGTTTTTTCTATTGATAATGTAAAATTAACAGCCATACAGAAAGACTCATGTGAAGGTGAAATTACAGAGGAGGAACTTCTGGATGCAATTAAATACTTTAATTCTGGGAAAACTCCAGGGTTGGATGGCATACCAGTCGAGGTATACTAAACCTTTTTTGATATACTCAGAGGACCTTTATTAGCATGTTTTAACCACTCCTATGTAAATGGTAGATTATCAGACACTCAAGAAGAAGGTCTGATTTCATTATTACTGAAACAGGATACAAGTGGAAAATATGAAGATCCAGTCCGTAAAAAAAATTGGATGCCCCTTACACTTCAGTGTTGTGATGCAAAAATTCGAGCAAAATGTATGGCGCATAGAATTAAAAAGGTATTGTCGGACATTATTCATTCTAATCAGACAGATTTTTTACATGGGCGATACATTGGAGATAATATAAGGCAAGTACCGGAAACAATAGAACACTATGAAAAATCTGGGAAACCAGGCCTACTATTCATAGCAGACTTTGAAAAGGCACTTGATAAAGTACGACTGGGGTTTATATATAAATGCCTGGAGCATTTCAATTTTGGACAATCTCTTATAAATTGGGTTAAAATCATGTATAGCAACCCTAGGTGTAAAATAGTAAATAATGGCTATTTCTCAGAAAGTTTTAAACTGTCGGAGTGAAACAAGGTGGTCCACTATCGGCATATCTATTTATTATTGCCATCGAGATGTTAGCTATTAAAATCAGATCCAACAATAATATCAAGGGATTAGAAATCCAGGGCTTAAAAACAAAGGTGTCATTGTACGCTGTTAATTCATGTTTTCTTTTAAATCCACAACTTGAATCCCTCCACAGCCTCATAGAGGATCTAGAACATTTTCTAACCTCTCTGGATTACAACCAAATAATGGTAAATGTACTATATTACGTATTGGATCACAAAAAAATAAAAATGCAACAAATATTGTGGTTAAACTCAAATATACAGTGGGGGAAAAAAGTATTTAGTCAGCCACCAATTGTGCAAGTTCTCCCACTTAAAAAGATGAGAGAGGCCTGTCATTTTCATCATAGGTACACGTCAACTATGACAGACAAATTGAGATTTTCTTTCCCAGAAAATCACATTGTAGGATTTTTAATGAATTTATTTGCAAATGATGGTGGAAAGTAAGTATTTGGTCACCTACAAACAAGCAAGATTTCTGGCTCTCACAGACCTGTAACTTCTTCTTTAAGAGGCTCCTCTGTCCTCCACTCGTTACCTGTATTAATGGCACCTGTTTGAACTTGTTATCAGTATAAAAGACACCTGTCCACAACCTCAAACAGTCACACTCCACACTCCACTATGGCCAAGACCAAAGAGCTGTCAAAGGACACCAGAAACAAAATTGTAGACCTGCACCAGGCTGGGAAGACTGAATCTGCAATAGGTAAGCAGCTTGGTTTGAAGAAATCAACTGTGGGAGCCATTATTAGGAAATGGAAGACATACAAGACCACTGATAATCTCCCTCGATCTGGGGCTCCACGCAAGATCTCACCCCGTGGGGTTAAAATGATCACAAGAACGGTGAGCAAAAATCCCAGAACCACACGGTGGGACCTAGTGAATGACCTGCAGAGAGCTGGGACCAAAGTAACAAAGCCTACCATCAGTAACACACTACGCCGCCAGGGACTCAAATCCTGCAGTGCCAGACGTGTCCCCCTGCTTAAGCCAGTACATGTCCAGGCCCGTCTGAAGTTTGCTAGAGTGCATTTGGATGATCCAGAAGAGGATTGGGAGAATGTCATATGGTCAGATGAAACCAAAATATAACTTTTTGGTAAAAACTCAACTCGTCGTGTTTGGAGGACAAAGAATGCTGAGTTGCATCCAAAGAACACCATACCTACTGTGAAGCATGGGGGTGGAAACATCCATGCTTCGGGGCTGTTTTTCTGGACGACTGATCCGTGTAAAGGAAAGAATGAATGGGGCCATGTATCGTGAGATTTTGAGTGAAAACCTCCTTCCATCAGCAAGGGCATTGAAGATGAAACGTGGCTGGGTCTTTCAGCATGACAATGATCCCAAACACACCGCCCGGGCAACGAAGGAGTGGCTTCGTAAGAAGCATTTCAAGGTCCTGGAGTGGCCTAGCCAGTCTCCAGATCTCAACCCCATAGAAAATCTTTGGAGGGAGTTGAAAGTCCGTGTTGCCCAGCGACAGCCCCAAAACATCACTGCTCTAGAGGAGAGCTGCATGGAGGAATGGGCCAAAATACCAGCAACAGTGTGTGAAAACCTTGTGAAGGCTTACAGAAAACGTTTGACCTGTGTCATTGCCAACAAAGGGTATATAACAAAGTATTGAGAAACTTTTGTTATTGACCAAATACTTATTTTCCACCATAATTTGCAAATTAATTAATTAAAAATCCTACAAGGTGATTTTCTGGGATTCTTTTTCTCAATTTGTCTGTCATAGTTGACGTGTACCTATGATGAAAATTACAGGCCTCTCTCATCTTTTTAAGTGGGAGAACTTGCACAATTGGTGGCTGACTAAATACTTTTTTCCCCCACTGTATGTATGTGTGTGTGTATGTATACATATATATATAAACATATACATATATACATACCCATATGTATATGTGTGTGTATGTATGTATGTATGTATGTATGTATATATATATATATATATATATATATATATATATATATATATATATATATATGTGTATATATGTATATGTGTATATATATATATATATATATATGTGTATGTATATGTGTATATATATATATATGTGTATGTATATGTGTATATATATGTATATGTGTATATATATGTATATATATATATATATATCTATATATATATATATGTGTCTTCTCTGTGTCCTCTGTCTCGTTGTCTCTCTCTGTCTATGTGTCTATCTCTTCTCTGTTTCTCTTCTCTCTCTATCTCTCATCTCTCTCTCTCTCTCTCTACTCTCTATCTCTCTGTATGTATATATGTGTATATGTATGTATGCAAGGAAAACAAACACATGGGGGATTGGAAGTGATGCAGACAATTACATTGATGGAAGTTACAATCTATCTGAAATATTAAAGCTGATCTACCCCCTAAAAAATACAAAGGTTAGGACAAGTTATTATTCCATGTGGCAAATAAACTAGCATAGCTTGTCCCATTGTGGGATATTAGAATCCTTTTGTCTTTTTTCATCTTCAACCTAGGCTGCAGGGAGGGGTGTGATGCCTAGGCAACCTAAGACTTTACAACACCTTGCTTGTTTCAGCAAGGAGCAACGTTGTAGAGTCCATGTTACAGCAGAAACCGACTCAACCGTGCAAATGCCCGGCCGTCCCGTCTTCAGCCAGCTGTTCATTCGACAAATAAATATATTTCTTAGTTATTTTATTTTCATGACAGTCTTCATTCATAACCGTCAGTTCCATGGTAATTGTGCCAGCCCTACCAATGACAATGTGCTAAGAAGACTGAGAGCACACAAAGCTGCAGGCCTGATGTCAAGGCAGGAAGGTTGGAGTGTTCTGACTCTGACAGACAAGGTCTGTTCTCTCTCCTGCAGCTGTTCCGACGTGTGGCTGCTGCCCTCCCTGGCATGGAGAGCACACAGGACAAGAGCAGAGAAGACAGTATCCTTACTCTACACAGAAACACGTGTGTGACTGACTATGCATGTTTTTCAGTGGCAATAGTAGATTGTACTCAGTGGCAATACAGATTGTATTCAAACATTTACAGACAACTATTGGCTAGCTTGTAAACTTATTGAAACATATTGAGAAGATGCAAAGTGTTTGAAAATACTTCGTGTTCCTGTCTGAGCTCTTTGAGTTGGTCCTTAATCCCTCCTCCCCCAGTGATTGACATAAAGCTGGAGAAGCCCCCAGAACAGCCCATCAGCGAAGGAGGCTGCTCCTGCTAACTCAAGACTCTCTTTATCACTCTGTTTCTCTCTCTCCTGCGCTTTGTTGTTCTTGATCCTTCTCACCCTGGCTTATTCAATCCCCCCTATGTCTCTCTATACTGTACCTTTTCTCTCTGCTTCACTGCTCTTCCGCTCTGTCTGAACCCCTTGAATCCTGACTCCTTCTCCCCAGCCTGAAAGAGAAGAACACTACCTGTCCATCATCCTTGTCGTTGTGGTAACCCGCTCTCTCACTGAGATGACCTTAAGCTTAACAAGCACAGTATGGATGTGAATGCTATTTTATTTCAGTTGAACTTTCACTCTACTTGGGCAATAGTTGTTGTTTTTTCAAAGACTGTATCCTGTTTTTCTGTAATACGGAAATGTTTGGTTGCACAATTTTACATTTACGTTTTAGTCATTTAGCAGACGCTCTTATCCAGAGCGACTTACAGTTAGTGAGTGCATACATTTTCATACTGGCCCCCTGTGGGAAACGAACCCACAACCCTGGCGTTGCAAGTGCCATGCTCTACCAACTGAGCTACAGGGGACTAATCTATGATGGCAGCCTGTGAGGGACCTAGACCCATAGATACTGAGTGGAATGTTTCTGCCATAAGTGGGTCCTGAATAGATTATTACAGCTCAGCAGCCCCCAATCAATATCACTCACTGGGTGACAGGTGAAAGTTGAGCATAACAACCTCCCTTTCTAATGCCAGTCCCAGCACAGATCAGCCATACTGTGTCACTCCACAGAAACATGGCATGACGACACAATGTAGGGAAACCACAAGAACTAGTCTCACCACAATAACATGACACAATACAACACAAGGGCAGTCTCACTAGCACTACACGACCGTCCTTAATTTGTCCCCTTGTCCTCACAAATGAATAAATGCTATCTTCACCTTGGCTGCCATTTTCTATTATCTCTTGGTTAGGTCTTTACTTTTTTCTAAAGAGTCCAATGATCATAGATGAAAATATATTGCTTTGGAGAACAGTAGTGTTTCTGAAAAGATTTTTGTATGTTGAAAAAAGTATCAAATTCAACACAAACCCAACTTCATAATATATGCTGACATGCCTTTTAAAAGTGTTAATTGTAGAGGGCTTCCATGGTTTTGAGTTTTCCTAGCTTTGTTAGGTTTGGTTTAATGTTATAGTATCGACACTTTAGAGTTTTTTTGTTTTCTTTGCTTGTTTTTGTTTGGTTTTGATCTTTTGTTAATGAGAATTATAATAATGACTTGTAATATTTATTTCTAATAGATTGTTTCTTCATTTTTATTACTGTTAATACTATTGTTGTTGGGATGATCCCTAAACGGCTAATAGAGTATTTTGTCAACCACCTGATTTTTGAACATGTCCCCCAGCTCTTCTGGTGACATCACTACCCCTCTACTCCACCCCAAAATGCTGATTTAACTGAAGAAAAAAACAGTGCAATGTTTTTGTGTGTATTTTTCTGGAGGAAAGTCCACTTTCTTTTTGTAGTGTCTTAGTTCGTAACCTTTTTTCTTTGGAATGGTTTTAACTGGATGTTAGAGATAAACTGTCACTGCTATGCGCCGCCACGTCGCTGTGCACTGAAGCTCATAATTTGCACTGCTAGAATTCATCAGTGTCTTATCAACATCCCTAAGAAAGGTCTGCATTTACTAACTGAAATGTCATTTTTTTGATAGTTGAATAATAAATTGATAAATGCTAGACAAGACAATCTGGAAAGAGGGACTAGTCTGGTTATTTCCTGTGAACTTGGTGTTTTGTCAGTGTGGAAAATATTTTAATTGAATGTTTTAAGTCTGTAAATCATTTCCCCACAACATATTTGGGTCATATGGGGCAATGTTTAAGCAGTCTATGACACATGGCCAAAACTAGCTGTCGTCCTTAGAGGGAGTGTTTTCTGGTGCTGTAAATTCAGACAAGGTGAAGGACAAAGTATTGGCCTTCTGTCAGGTATGATTAAATCAAATTTGATTTGCCACATGTGCCGAATACAACAGGTGTAGACATTTACAGTGAAATGCTTACTTACAAGCCCTTAACCAACAATGCAAAGTAAAACAAAAAAAGTGTTAAGCAAAAAAAATAAAAGCAAATAACTAAAGAGCAGCAGTAAAATAACAGTAGGGAGGCTATATACAGGGGGGTACCGGTGCAGAGTCAATGTGCGGGGGCACCGGCTAGTCGAGGTAATTGCGGTAATATGTACATGTGGGTAGAGTTAAAGTGACTATGCATAAATAATCAACAGAGTAGCAGGAGAGTAAAAAAGGGGGACGGGGTGGGGGTGGGGGGACAGTGCAAATTGTCCGGGTAGCCATGATTAGCTGTTCAGGAGTCTTATGGCTTGGGGGTAGAAGCTGTTGAGAAGCCTTTTGGACCTAGACTTGGCGCTCCGGTACCGCTTGCCGTGCGGTAGCAGAGAGAACAGTCTATGACTAGGGTGGCTGGAGTCTTTGACAATTTTGAGGGCCTTCCTCTGACACCGCCTGGCCGAGCAGTTGCCATACCAGGCGGTGATGCACCCAGTCAGGATGCTCTCGATGGTGCAGCTGTAGAACTTTTTGAGGATCTGAGGACCCATGCCAAATGTTTTCAGTCTCCTGAGGGGGAATAGGCTTTGTCGTGCCCTCTTCACGACTGTCTTGGTGTGTTTGGACCATGATAATTCATTGGTGATGTGGACACCAAGGAACTTGAAGCTCTCAACCTGTTCCACTACAGCCCCGTCGATGAGAATGGGGGCGTGCTCAGTCCTCTTTTTTTCCCCTATAGTCCACAATCATCTCCTTTGTCTTGATCACGTTGAGGGAGAGGTTGTTATCCTGGCACCACACGGCCAGGTCTCTGACCTCCTCCCTATAGGCTGTCTCATCGTTGTCGGTGATCAGGCCTACCACTGTTGTGTCGTCGGCAAACTTAATGATGGTGTTGGAGTCGTGCCTGGCCATGCAGTCATGGGTGAACAGGGAGTACAGGAGGGAACTGAGCACGCACCCCTGAGGGGCCCCCGTGTTGAGGATCAGCGTGGCAGATGTGTTGTTACCTACCCTTACCACCTGGGGGTGGCCCGTCAGGAAGTCCAGGATCCAGTTGCAGAGGGAGGTGTTTAGTCCCAGGATCCTTAGCTTAGTGATGAGCTTTGAGGGCGCTATGGTGTTGAACGCTGAGCTGTAGTCAATGAATATCATTCTCACGTAGGTGTTCCTCATGTCCAGGTGGGAAAGGGCAGTGTGGAGTGCAATAGAGATTGCATCATCTGTGGATCTGTTGGGGCGGTATGCAAATTGGAGTGGGTCTAGGGTTTCTGGGATAATGGTGTTGATGTGAGCCATGACCAGCCTTTCAAAGCACTTCATGGCTACAGACGTGAGTGCTACAGGTCGGTAGTCATTTAGGCAGGTTATCTTAGTCTCCTTGGGCACAGGGACTATGGTGGTCTGCTTGAAACATGTTGGTATTACAGACTCAGTCAGGGACATGTTGAAAATGTCAGTGAAGACACTTGCCCGTTGGTCAGCACATGCTCGCCGTACACGTCCTGGTAATCCGTCTGGCCCTGCGGCCTTGTGAATGTTGACCTGCTTAAAAGTCTTACTCACATCGGCTACGGAGAGCGTGATCACATAGTCATCCGGAACAGCTGGTGCTCTCATGCATACTTCATTGTTGCTTGCCTCGAAGCGAGCATAGGTAATTTAGCTCATCTGGTAGGCTTGTGTCACCGGGCAGCTCGCAGCTGTGCTTCCCTTTGTAGTCTGTAATAGTTTTCAAGCCCTGCCACATCCGACGAGTGTCAGAGCCGGTGTAGTACGATTCAATCTTAGTCCTGTATTGACTCTTTGCCTGTTTGATGGTTCGTCGGAGGGCAAAGCGGGATTTCTTATAAACATCCGGGTTAGAGTCCCGCTCCTTGAAAGCGGCAGCTCTACCCTTTAGCTCAGTGCGGATGTTTCCTGTAATCCATGGCTTCTGGTTGGGGTATGTACGTACGGTCACTGTGGGGACGACGTCATCGATGCACTTATTGATGAAGCCAGTGACTGATGTTGCGTACTCCTCAATGCTTTCTGAAGAATCCCAGAACATATTCCAGTCTGTGCTAGCAAAACAGTCCTGTAGCTTAGCATCTGCGTCATCTGACCACTTTGTTATTAACCGAGTCACTGGTGCTTCCCGCTTAGTTTTTGCTTATAACCAGGAATCAGGAGGATAGAGTTATGGTCAGATTTGCCAAATGGAGGGCGGGGGAGAGCTTTGTATGCGTCTCTGTGTGTGGAGTAAAGGTCGTCTAGAGTTTTTTTATTTTCTTCTTCTGGTTGCACAATTAACATGCTGGTAGAAATTGGGTAGAACGGATTGATGTTTCCCTGCATTAAAGTCCCCGGCCACTAGGAGCGCTGCCTCTGGATGAGCGTTTTCCTATTTACTTATGGCCTTATACAGCTCATTGAGTGCAGTCTTGTGCCAGCATTGGTTTGTGGTGGTATATAGACAACTACGAAAAATATAGAAGAAAAATCTCTTGGTAAATAGTGTGGTCTACAGTTTATCATGAGATACTATACCTCAGGTGAGCAAAACCTTGAGACTTCCTTAGTATTAGATTTTTTGCACCAGCTGTTGTTTACAAATATACACAGACCGCCACCCCTTGTCTTAACGAAGTCAGCCGTTCTATCCTGACGATGTAGCGTATATCCCGCCAGCTGTATGTTATCAATGTCATCGTTCAGCCACGACTCGGTGAAAGATAAGATATTACAGTTTTTAATGTCCCGTTGGAAGGATAACCGTAATCTTAGGTCGTCTACCTTATTTTCAAATGATTGAACATTGGCTAATAGGATTGATGGAAGAGGCAGTTTACTCGCTCGCCGTCGGATCCTTACAAGGCACCCCGACAAGGGATTAGATGTCAGGGCAGGCTCCATCCTGTTTCAAGGGGAAGTTACTGGGTAATGTCAGAATGTATACTCTAATCTTGCCTGTCTCCACTCACCATCAACACTGCATCCACTTTCTGACAACCTCAATGTCCAGTAAGCTACAAGACCACCATTTGTCTGCTCTCATATCAGTTGGTGATTACAGCCTCCCAGCTATCACAGTTTATTTTACTTGGCATTTTCTTATTGGGTTTGGTTTAACTCACCTAAAGTTGAAAGGGTAGCTGAGTTGATACTGATGTATTAATCAACTGGAGCTCATCCCTTTACTGTCCTGCTGAGAGCCTGTACAGCCACTAGATGGCAGCCTCTCCAAAGACTGGACAGGGGCCCATGTGCAGAAAAATCCACAGGAGAACGATAGTGTTTAGAGGAGTCTGCTCCCTGATTAACATTACCTACACACCCCTGAGGTCTGCTGCACACCAATCCTTGCATCCCCCCTCCCTTCAGAGACACATTGACCTACGTAGTTCATACACAATCATTATTATTTTTGTTAAGTGACCCCTATTCTATTCATGACATAGATTCTAAATTGCTTACATTGAGGTCGTGAACAGTGTTCTCTAGAGTACTGTAGGGGTAGCTGGATAATTCTTCCTGACTTCACACTTTGGGTTATTAAATGTCAGAGTTCTTTTCATCCTATTTGATTCATAATCAACATTCAAGCTTGAAGCCCAAAATATGGATGATCAATACAGGATTATGACAAGGGAATAGCAACATCTATTATTAATGATCAGCATCTTTGTGACAAGAAAATCATAAGAATTCCAGCTTTAAAATAGTCTTTTTGGAATATCCGTTAATCTAAGATGTCATTTTCCTGTTAATTCATTAATGCAATTCATAAATGCATTGCTGTATGAATAATATTGTGTGTGTATTTCATTGTTTGCTTGTGCCTGTGTGTGTATGCGTATGTGTCTGTGTTTAAGCTGGCTGTTCCAGGTCACTGATAACACACCTGCGTCTCTCTCTCATGCGCCATAGAGCTTTATGCTCATTCAGTCCTAGCCCCAGCCAGCTGACAACAGCTCTCCAGAACCTCTCTCTGTCACTAACTACTAACCCAGGCCCAAACATATTCCACTGATGCGCCTCAGTCAGAGCTGTTGCGTTCTGTCTGCCTGCCACAGGACTGATAAACCATGTGTCCTGGATGAGGATGAGCCCCCTCGCCCAATATGCTGAACACACAATGCTCCCTCCCTCCCTATCTGCTCTCACACACAAACACATACACATGTACAAAGAGCTAGATAAGTCAATCCTTGAGTCACTGCAGATGTTGCTGTGTAAGGGCTGTGGTTCTGAACTTGCTCCCTCTAGCCTGGTTGCCTGCTGAATTCGTGGCTGGTTTTATAAAAGGGAATGCAATAACAATGCATGCACTGTTACCATGACATCACACATGCACGTGTCCTACTCACCTCTCACAAACCTGCACGCAACCTGAACCCCAACCCCCACTCCTCCCTCCCTCTCTCCCTAACTCTCACATCCCTCTCTTTCACCTTATGGCCCAAGAATCCATATCTCTGTCTGCCCTGTCTTCCCCTTGATGCTGTTACTGTTGGCTATACACAGGTGTGGTAGAGTGTGTTTGTGTGTGTGTGTGTGTGTGTGTCTGTCTATGGGTGGGGGTAGCCTACAGTATATAAATCAAATTTTATTTGTCACATACACATGTTTAGCAGAACTTATTGCGGGTGTAGTGAAAAGCTTGTGCTTCTAGCTCTGTCAGTGCAGTAATATCTAACAAGTAATATCTAACCATTTCACAACATATACCCAATACAGACCCATGGGGCGACGCACAATTGGCCCAGCGTCATCCAGGGTAGGGGAGGGAATGGCCGGCAGGGATGTAGCTCAGTTGGTAGAGCATAGCGTTTGCAACGCCAGGGTTGTGGGTTCGATTTCCACGGGGGGCCAGTATGAAAATAAAAAAAATATGTATGCACTCACTAACTGTAAGTCGCTCTGGATAAGAGCGTCTGCTAAATGACTAAAAATGTAAATGTAAATCTAGTAAGGAATGGAATTTAAGAATATTACATATATGGACAAGCAATGACAGAGCGGCATGGACTAAGATACGGTAGAATATTATAGAATAGAATACAGTATATACATATGAGATGAGTAGTGCAAGATATGTAAACATTATTAAAGTGACTAGTGTTCCATTTCTTAAAGTGGCCAGTGATTTCAATAGGCAGCAGCAGCCTCTAATGTGCTAGTGATGGCTATTTAACAGTCTAACGGCCTTGAGATAGAAGCTGTTTTTCATTCTCTCGTTCCCAGCTTTAATGCACCTGTACTGACCTCACCTTCTGGATGAATGGGGGGTGAACAGGCAGTGGCTCGGGTGGTTGATGTCCTTGATGATCTTTTTGGCCTTCCTGTGACATCGGGTGCTGTAGGTGTCTTGTAGGGCGGGTAGTTTGCCCCCGGTAATGCGTTCGGCAGACTGCACCACCCTCTGGAGAGCCCTGCGGTTGCGGGCGGTGCAGTTGCCGTACCAGGTGGTGATACAGCCCGACAGGATGCTCTCAATTGTGCATCTGTAAAAGTTTGTGAGGGTTTTAGGTGCCAAGCCAGTCTCACACCGCCATAATATTAATCTAATGAATGCAGATTTCAATGTCACGGCAGAATACTGTACTGTGCTCATCTCACCAGAGAGAGAAGAGGGTGGAATGGAGAAGGGGAAATGGACAGAATGTGATAAAGTGAATGAGGAGGAGGGGGAGGAAAATACAGTAAGAGGAGAGGGTGAGAAGGTGAGGGCAGAGATAAATAGGTGTAGGGGGGTAGGGAGGAGGTGCAGAACCATGATTCTCTCCTGTAATCCTCTCAACAAAAGCCAGAGCCGGGTGATGTGTAACAGAAAGAACGAGAGTGAGAGAAAAAAAGAGAGCGACCATGTGTACAAGAGGGTGATTAGAGACAGAGCGACAGTGAGAGAGAAAGATAGCTCTGCCAAGACTCCACACTGAGACAGAGGATTGCCAAAAAAAGCAGGGAAGGAGAGGTGGCGGTAGAATTGCTTATTCCAATAGTACAGGAGGAGAGAACGGCACAAGGGAGGGAGGAATTCTTGCAAGCACAAGTGAAGTAGCAATCCAAGCACATTTACTAGAGAAGGAAAGAGGGTAGAGAGAGGGAAAGAGAGTGAGCAGGTATGGGGGGGAGTGTGGCATGCTTACGGAGTGTGACATTGATAGAGCGAACCAGAGAGCGAGCGAGAGCGCAGAAAGTATAGTGAGGAACAAGGAGTGAGACCTAGAGAGAAATAAGTAATCACAGAGAGACTAAGCTCAACACACAAACACAAGGAGAGGGGGAAGGAGGAAGCGAGGAGAGAAAAAGAGCAGAGCTAGTGAGAGAGTGAAAGGAGAGGAGCGAGATGATGGAGTCCAGAAATAGTTTTACAGGAGGATAGCCACTCATCCCTGCTCTCTGCGGCAGACATGACTCCAGGCGGAGGACTCTGCTGAAATTAGCCAGAGGGACGATACAGGACAGCAGGTCTGCAGCACCACTGCCTCAGTGTATGCAACAAGGCAGTTGATTTGTTACTGAGGGAGTGTGTGTGTCAGTGTGTATGTGTATGTGCCGGCGGGCTTTTTACAGTTTCTTGTAGTGATTGGGGGAGGAGCCACCGTTTCTCATGACAAGGAAATTCAGTAAGCAATACTGTGCATGGCAGGAGCTTTATGTGCAAATGTGTCTTTACATTCTAGTGTCGTAAATGCAGCTAGGATCCTGGGCCGTGACAGTCGGTCATCGAGTTTTTGTGTGTGAGTGTGTCTACGGCTCTGCATGGAGGTGAGCAGAAGAAGGGTCAGCTGGGTACAGTGTGCTGGGTTTGAGGAGGAAGGTTACAGGGAAGGTACTGAACACAGTGCAAGGACAAGAGCTTCGCACCGATGGGAAGGAGTGCATCTGAGGTACCAGGAGAGACCTGGGTGTAGGGTGGAGGACAGAGAGAGAGAGGGCAGGGAATAGAGAGAGTGAGGGGGAGAAAAAGGGGGAGGAGGGAGATATAAAGGAGGAGGGAGAGAGAGAGAGCGAGATCATGGCTGTCAGATACAGTGAGCTATAGCATAGATCTGAGTGGTGCGGCACGGGGAGGACAAGCTTCACTGCGGAGGGAGGGAGAGAGAGAGAGAGAGAGAGAGAGAGAGAGAGAGAGACGGCACCGCTCCTCTGCCAGGAAGAGAAGAACAGGACCGGACCGAGGGAGGACACACACGTTCACTCCCACAGAGAACCATCGGCCAGGTCAACGAGTAGGGGTCAGGAGAAGCTGGTGCAGGACGGGGGTGGATGCGCCCCCCCCGGCTGGGGACTGTCAGGAGCGCTGAGCCCAGGAGGAGGGGGAGGAGGAGGGGAAGGAAGAGGAGGAGAGCCCCGGAGCCCCTGTTCCTCTGTAGGCTGAACCTGTCTTTCGATGACCATGGGGGAGTGGACCATTCTGGAGCGGCTTCTCGAGGCTGCTGTCCAGCAACATTCTACCATGATTGGGAGGTAAGACTTTCTTGCCACTCATCACCAGTGTGTATGTGTGTGTAAAAGTTTTTTTTCTTCTTAATTTTTGTATGTTTGTGTGATGATTGTGTTTTTCTGATTGAAAGTGTGTGTGTGTCCCATCAGTAGCCTCTAGTCTCAGCCTCCCCTCCCCTCACTGGCCCTCCCTGCCCTTCTGGTGCCCATCATTAGTTAAGGGATAAGCTAATTGCACATAATACATAGCTGGTATTACTAGGCATTAGGGTTAATTCAGCCGAGCTCCTGTGTTGATTCCAACTATTGGCCCTGGTATTGATGGAGGGGCAATGGGGGATCTCTAGTAGAAGAGGAGAGAGAGAGACAGACCAAGACAGAGGACAGAAATGGAGGTGTGGAAGAGAGCGGAGATGGAGTTGAAGGTGGAAGAAATTATTCTGAACTTGGCAAGGACGAGATTGCTTCTTGTGTAAATTGAGGCTGTCTACTGAAGTCTGGTTTTGTGTGTTCTCTAGTTACTGCAGTGTAGTGGTAGAAGGTCATGCATGAGCAGATTGGAGTCTTATTAGCAGTGGAGACATGTATTGAGGACAAACATGTAATATCTTCTGGGGTGTAAAAAATCTGCTTCATTGTCTCTCGCCTGTATGATTAGTCAAATTCAAAGTGTGATTTTCCACCCATTAACCACAATGTGAGTTACTGGTAAACTGCACTCGCCCTATGTATGGAATAATCACACACAGATTGCAGTACAGTGCAGTAGAGAATAAATCTAGTGTACTCTCTCTCTCTGTCCTTCCGTGTTGAGCTGGGGAGCTTGGCTACAGAGCTTGGCTACTTGTGTTAGCATGGAGGCCAACTACACTGCTGTGCTCATTAACCTCAACCCCAGGTAGTCCCCTGCAGCTAGGGCAACGCCTGACCTCCTCTCCCATCCTTCTCTGTGTGTGTCTGTGTATGTGTGTGTACATAATGTCTATCAGAGTATGTGGCTATATACAGTAGAGGAGAGTGGTGTAAGTCGTGCCAAAGGGTTAGTTGAGGCACCCCTTGTTTCTAGGAAACCATACACAAAATCATGTGACCAAATATTTAGGAAGAGGTCGTCATTTCATGGAGTCTGTGAAGGAAGAAACCACATGGAAAAAGTGGTAAGCAAGTTAGGTCCAAAAAACTGATTTTCACAAAGTCAAATTAATTTACTGTGTTATAAGTTTAATGATGCTTGTATCTAAACCAAAGTAGATAGTTCAAATAATGTTTTAAACATCAGTTGGGGTCTCAATAAGGTACAATATGAGGTCCTAAACCTAGCATGAAAGTGCATCCTTGTAGCTTTGTGGGCTAATTTAGTAAAAATGGTAGCTTTAAGGTAAATTGTGCCATCTGTCCAGGGGAAAGTTGAGCCTATGGCTAATCAATATACCCTATACAAATGATGATTACATTTTGTCTGTTTTATGCATAATATGGATAGTATTTTGAAGATACCTTGCATTCATGTGATTAGTCAAGTTCAAATTATGAAAAATGCCTTCCACAGTTGGGTTCGCCCCCCCTCTAGGCCACAATTGAAGTGTTTTCTTCCCAGGTGTAATGCAAGGCATTATCGCTGGGATATGAGGTTACACCAGGGCCTGATCTTATGTTGAAGGTGTTTTTAAAAAGTACAAAGTGTTTAAAAAGTTTACCCTGTCCCTATACTCTATTTACCCTGTCCCTATGCTCTATTTACCCTGTCCCTATACTCTATTTACCCTGTCCCTATGCTCTATTTACCCTGTCCCTATGCTCTATTTACCCTGTCCCTATGCTCTATTTACCCTGTCCCTATGCTCTATTTACCCTGTCCCTATTCTCTATTTACCCTGTCCCTATGCTCTATTTACCCTGTCCCTATTCTCTATTTACCCTGTCCCTATGCTCTATTTACCCCGTCCCTATGCTCTATTTACCCTGTCCCTATGCTCTATTTACCCTGTCCCTATGCTCTATTTATCCTGTCCCTATGCTCTATTTACCCTGTCCCTATGCTCTATTTACCCTGTCCCTATGCTCTATTTACCCTGTCCCTATTCTCTATTTACCCTGTCCCTATGCTCTATTTACCCTGTCCCTATGCTCTATTTACCCTGTCCCTATGCTCTATTTACCCCGTCCCTATGCTCTATTTACCCCGTCCCTATGCTCTATTTACCCTGTCCCTATGCTCTATTTACCCTGTCCCTATGCTCTATTTACCCTGTCCCTATTCTCTATTTACCCTGTCCCTATTCTCTATTTACCCTGTCCCTATGCTCTATTTACCCTGTCCCTATGCTCTATTTACCCTGTCCCTATGCTCTATTTACCCCATACCCGAGGTAAGTTGTGCCAAGAGACCACTTTTTTTGCTAAGCTAAGCTAAGTTTTCAAAACTGTTATTATGAATTCTGATTATTTCCAAGGATACACAACATCCTGAAATATATGTAGTTATCTTTGTTAGAAAGAATACTATATTTCCCTTGATGTAGTGATGCTGAATGTAAAAAAATTCTCAACATACAGTGGGGAAAAAAAGTATTTAGTCAGCCACCAATTGTGCAAGTTCTCCCACTTAAAAAGATGAGAGAGGCCTGTAATTTTCATCATAGGTACACGTCAACTATGACAGACAAATTGAGAGAAAAAAATCCAGAAAATCACATTGTAGGATTTTTAATGAATTTATTTTCAAATGATGGTGGAAAATTAATATTTGGTCACCTACAAGCAAGCAACATTTCTGGCTCTCACAGACCTGTAACTTCTTCTTTAAGAGGCTCCTCTGTCCTCCACTCGTTACCTGTATTAATGGCACCTGTTTGAACTTGTTATCAGCATAAAAGACACCTGTCCACAACCTCAAACAGTCACACTCCAAACTCCACTATGGCCAAGACCAAAGAGCTGTCAAAGGACACCAGAAACAAAATTGTAGACCTGCACCAGGCTGGGAAGACTGAATCTGCAATAGGTAAGCAGCTTGGTTTGAAGAAATCAACTGTGGGAGCAATTATTAGGAAATGGAAGACATACAAGACCACTGATAATCTCCCTCGATCTCGACGCAAGATCTCACCCCGTGGGGTCAAAATGATCACAAGAACGGTGAGCAAAAATCCCAGAACCACACGGGGGGACCTAGTGAATGACCTGCAGAGAGCTGGGACCAAAGTAACAAAGCCTACCATCAGTAACACACTACGCCGCCAGGGACTCAAATCCTGCAGTGCCAGACGTGTCCCCCTGCTTAAGCCAGTACATGTCCAGGCCCGTCTGAAGTTTGCTAGAGTGCATTTGGATGATCCAGAAGAGGATTGGGAGAATGTCAGATGGTCAGATGAAACCAACATAGAACTTTTTGGTAAAAACTCAACTCGTCGTGTTTGGAGGACAAAGAATGCTGAGTTGCATCCAAAGAACACCATACCTACTGTGAAGCATGGGGGTGGAAACATCATGCTTTGGGGCTGTTTTTCTGCAAAGGGACCAGGACGACTGATCCGTGTAAAGGAAAGAATGAATGGGGCCATGTATCGTGAGATTTTGAGTGAAAACCTCCTTCCATCAGCAAGGGCATTGAAGATGAAACGTGGCTGGGTCTTTCAGCATGACAATGATCCCAAACACACCGCCCGGGCAACGAAGGAGTGGCTTCGTAAGAAGCATTTCAAGGTCCTGGAGTGGCCAATCCAGTCTTCAGATCTCAACCCCATAGAAAATCTTTGGAGGGAGTTGAAAGTCTGTGTTGCCCAGCGACAGCCCCAAAACATCACTGCTCTACAGGAGATCTGCATGGAGGAATGGGCCAAAATACCAGCAACAGTGTGTGAAAACCTTGTGAAGACTTACAGAAAACGTTTGACCTGTGTCATTGCCAACAAGGGGTATATAACAAAGTATTGAGAGACTTTTGTTATTGACCAAATACGTATTTTCCACCATAATTTGCAAATCAATTCATAAAAAATCCTACAATGTGATCTTCTGGATTTTTTTTTCTCATTTTGTCTGTCATAGTCGACGTGTACCTATGATGAAAATTACAGGCCTCTCTCATCTTTTTAAGTGGGAGAACTTGCACAATTGGTGGCTGACTAAATCCTTTTTTACCCCACTGTACCCCACTCTCCCCTAGGCTACATAGAGAGACTAAGAGGACATTTTTGTAGCGCAAAAGCACTGTGCAAAGTGCAAACATTACCATAAACCTCATTATAATCTGGAAGCATAATTTAATTAGAAATTTTTCTTCAACAATGCGCATTATGAATTATGTATTGCTCAATTTACTAAACTTCAGTTACATAATCACCTAAATAATCAAATTGGAGGTGATTATTTAACTTGAGTTTACTAAACTGAGCAATACATAAATAGCCTCTTCATAACACAAATTGTTTAAGAAAAGTTTCAAATGAAATCATGTTGCCAGATTATTATGAGGTTTATGGTAATTTTTTCACTTTGCACAGTGCTTTTGCCCATCTTCCGAAAACATCTGAAAGAGTATGTTAAATAATCCCACAGCACATCACCTTCTCACCCCCCCCCCCCCCCCCCCCCCCCCACCCCACCCCCTGCTTTTGTGAACTAACACTCACTTACACTTCACTTCTTTTAAGAGCGTCTGCTAAATGACTAAAATGTAAAATGTAAATAACTAAAGTGGTAATGTGAAATGGTTGGCCCTATAGTGCACCACAGATTTTGGTCTCCTATTTGATGGCTGGAAGTTTGTACATTTTGTCCCTCAGTAGCCTAGTTAGATTCTTCTGGTTGCTCCTGCAGGTCGGTCGATGCTGCTTGGGAGGACATGAGGGTGTGTTGTAAATGATCCCTTAGTGTTTGGGCCATGTTCAATCTGTTTGGCCAACAGAACTGTCTGTTTGGCCTCTAGACATTAGCAGTAACTGATATCTCTGTGGTGGTCCATTATGCCTGTCTGTGTGAACTTAGATGCTTATAGCTATTGCAGCTACGGGACTAAGTGTTTAGATACATTCATAGTGTATACAGGTTGCCTGGCTACCCAGACTCCTTGCTCTAGGCAAACGCTATGCCCACGGACGTTCGTTTCTTCTCCGCAATGAGTCTGGATCTGAGTACCTCCCCAACCCTTCACTGAATGCGAACACATTCGGGGCCATCTGATTGGTGCAGAAACCGATGGGCTGGGCCAGAGCCAGAACACATGTGGGTACAGCAGCGTTTTGAGAATTCGTAATTGGCCTTGATACTCTGATTGGTTAGAGATGATCCTATCGCTGATGACTTTGTTTTGTACAACGCCCCTCGTGCCCCTCGTCACCACAAATGACTTCAATGATGGCGGTCTCATTTCAAGTACTGTATGTAGCGAACGACAGAGCAGCGGAAATATTTTAGTGTGTCGTCGAGCTAGTATAAAGGATGATTATTTAGGCTACTGTAATGTGTTGGTGTAAGGCTGTGAAGTTGTGTTTCATGTGGTCAGACTGCTATTTCAGAGAAGTGTTTCTGGTAGACTCATTATACTTCAGGGTCAGGTCACTTGTGTTATGTGGAAGGATATTTAATTAGCAGTGGTCTGATTAGAATGCATGTATATATGACCGTTCTGGTATAATCCTGCTGACTAGATTATCTTCTGACTTCAAATCAAGTCTCTTGCTTCCTCCTGCAGTCACTGTGGTGTATACTCTCTCTGTGTGTTTGTCCTAACTGTCCTCTATAACCTTTCTCCTCACACACTCCCCCTCTTTCTCTGCTTCCATTTGAGATACACAAACACACACACCTGTGATCTCCCTTACAAAGCTGTAATGCTTTGTAAGGGAGAAATAAGCCTGGGGGTTCCTTATTAAATCAGAGTTAAACACCTTGCAGGTAAAAGAGAAAGGAAGTGTGTTGATGCATCATTTTCTACACTGCAATGCTGTTGTGGGGTCAGTGCCAGAGAGGAGGGGAGAGAGGGGATAATGGAGGACTAGGAGATCAGGGAGAGATGAAACAATGGAAATGAGGAGATGGATGGATGGGGAGGAAGGGATAAAGCTGCAGAGGCTGAGGAAAGAGAGGGGTTTGGAGCATGAATACACATAGGAAGGAGGGAAGAGAGGGAGAAAAAGAGGGGATGGTTCTATGTGCAGACGATCTGAGTTGGCAGCACAGGTTGTTATCATGATCAGTGGCATGCAGTGGTGGAAAAAGTACCCAATTGTCATACTTGAGTAAAAGTAAAGATACCTTAATATAAAATGACTCAATTAAAAGTGAAAGTCACCCAGTAAAATACTACTTGAGTAAAAGTCTAAAAGTATTTTTTTTTTAAATATACTTAACTATCAAAAGTAAATGTTATTGCTAAAATATACTTACATATCAAAAGTAAAAGTATAAATCATTTCACATTACTTATATATATATTTTTTTACAGAGCCAGGGGAACACTCAAGACATAATTTGTGTTTAGTGAGTCCGCCTGATCGGATGCAGTAGGCGCCTGATCAGATGCAGTAGGGATGACCAGTGATATTCTCTTGATAAGTGTAACGAGTACTTTTTGGTGTCAGGGAAAATGTATGGAGTAAAAAGTACATACTTTTCATTAGGAATGTAGTGGAGTAAAAGTTGTGTTTTTATATATATATATTATATATATATATATATATATATATATATATATATATATAATATCGACGCAGAGACGATCGAGAGACGAGAGAGAGAGAGAGAGAGAGCGAGGAGAGGAGAGAGAGAGCCAGAGAGCTCCAGCGGACTCGAGCGAGATGAGCGAGATAGAGAGCTCTGCTGCTTCTCTCTCGCCTCTCTCTCTCGCTCGCTCTCTCTCTCTCCTCTCTCTCTCTCTCTCTCTCTCTCTCTCTCTCTCGCTCTCTCCTCTCTCTCTCTCTCTCTCTCCTCCTCTCTCCTCTCTCTCTCTCTCTCCTCTCTCTCTCGCTCTCTCTCGCTCTCTCTCGCTCCTCTATATTATATGCTATTCTTTCATTTCCGTTTTTGTGCCCTTGGTGTTAGTGCACTGTCCATAATGAATATGTTACTGCTAGTTCTGTCTGTATGCATGCCTATTTGTGAGTGCTAGTATGTGAATGCACCAATTTGTAAGTCGCTCTGGATAAGAGCGTCTGCTAAATGACGTAAATGTGCCCTTGAGCAAGGCACTTAACCCTAATTGCTCCTGTAAGTCGCTCTGGATAAGAGCGTCTGCTAAATGACTAAAATGTAATGTAAATGTATACATAGCATGTGAGATCATGACCTTGTGTATACATGAGTCTGTGAGCATCGTGTGTGTGCGCGCGCATTTGTGTGATGTGTGTTTTCTCAGTTCATCTGGTGTCAGTGCTCAGGGCCGGTGTTGCCCCTGGAGGCTGACAGCAACAGCTGCTGTGTGGATGAATGTGTGTGAGAGCCTCTGGGAGAGCCAGGGCCTGCATGTCCAGCCAACTCACCAGCTACTACAGGAGCTACCATAGGACCTAACACTGGAGCTATAAACACACAGGTTAGACAGCCTACACATCAGCTAAACTGAAGTATACTGTAGAAGCAATACAGGACAGCTACAGAGCATTTAGAGGCTATGCATAAAATGCATTGGCTATAAAGCCTTCAAGGCCATACAATACTACCAACACACCATTTCAAGTATAAACCATTTTCACATTGCAGATATTTCAACAGACACCGGCTCTATGCTCAGTGTACTGGCTGTTTCTACCTTTCAGCATAACTTTAAGAGCTCTAGTAGCCTGCTCCGATTTATGATTATGACATCATCCTAAATCCAAAGATAGCTTTTGAGACTCAATTATCCACTTGGGCTGCAATCAGACATGCTCTTTAGCTGGATGAGCTAATTGGGTCTCCAGTTAGAGACCTGGCTGTGGTGGATCGCCTGAGGCTGCAGGGTGGTTCACATCACATTGCATACCAGCCAAGAACGCCTTCATCACTGGTACATTCATCTGGACAGGCTGTTTCTATAGTAACTCACAACTGTGTATAAGCACGCTGGTTGCTGTGTATACTCATTATGAGCACTGATCAAATGCAATACATATGCAGATCTGAAGATGTTAAACCTTGAAAAGTATGATTTCGTCACTTACGTCGATCCTGTGGCTTTCTAGAGCTTCGTTTATACCTGGCGCTAACATGCATCGTTGGTCCTGAACTTGTCTATATTCTGATTGTGCCACATTTTCAGATATGCATCTACACATGGTATTAAAATGTGTCTCTCATCCGTCCACTGTGTCCGCATTGAGACCAAAATTCCTGGTCCCTCCCTGTATGGAAATTATTTACATTTACATTTTAGTCATTTAGCAGACACTCTTATCCAGAGCAACTTACAGTTAGTGAGTGCATACATTTTCATACTGGCCCCCCGTGGGAAATGAACCCACAACCCTGGCGTTGCAAGCGCCATGCTCTACCAACTGAGCTACAGGGGACTACTATTTGACAGATATTATTTCTAAAATAATATTTATGTATTAATTTTAAGACACATTGATGACATAAGTCAATGGTGCCATCTGTAAATGATTTTAATGCGGAATAATGATGATTCAAATGGTTTCACTGAGTACGTTTACATGCACAGTAATAATTTGATGTTAAACTGATTATGGCAGTAGGCAGATTATACAATAGTCATGTAAACACTTTACTCTGCTTATCTTAATCGGCGTAAGGTCAAAATCGAAGTAAGCATATGCCGATTAAGACGTAGTTTTCTGAGCAATCTTTTGAATTATTAGGACATGTAAACACCTTAATTGACATTCCAGCTGTGTATTTGATCTGCACATGTGCTAGAACCAGATGAGCGAGCCTCCCTCTTTAGCGTGAGTGAAGTGAGTTCAGAACAACTGAATGTATGCGTCTTATAAAGTGTGTATGTGAAAACTAATTCTATGTCCGAACTCAAATATGTTTCCCAAAAATAACATGGTTGCTGTGGTATAACTTTTATTTTGATTGATGATTTTCTGCATTTATCAGAGTGCCATCAGGGAGCCTGATTTCAGATGTGTCCATGTAAACAAGATTTTTAGGGAAATCATTCTTCTTGCAAAGCATGTAAATGTATTAAATCGAACTATTATATTAATCTGACTATCCACAATAATCTCATTATTGTGTGCATGTTACCATACTCACTGTCCAGATCTGTCTACACTTGTGAGATATCCAGACACAATGCGTGCCTCACTACCTCCGGAGGTCGTCAGGAAGATCTGATCATAATTAGGTCACTATGTGTCTTTTGATCGTCTACACCTGTTTACAAATGTGGGCACAATCAGGATGTGGACACAATCAGAACAAAGGACGCATGTACAGGGTTTAGGACACACTGTAGGGCACTCAGTGGCTGCATTTACAAAGGCAGCCAAATTCTGATATTTATTCCACTGATTGGTATTTTGACCAATGACATTAGATCTTTTCACATCAGATCTTTTTAAGAGCTGATCTGATTGGTCAAAAGTGCACTATTAGTGAAAAAAAGATCAGAATTGGGCTGCCTGTGTAAACGCAGCCAGTGTTAGATTGACTGATGTAAGACATGATAATTTTTCAGCCTGTCTTGCTGTGAGTGATCTGAGGCCGGAGCTTTGATGCCGTAGGACAGCGCTGTGTAGATGTGGGGCCTGGATCCCCATCCTTGATCTTCTGGACCAATCAATGGCCTCGTGTACATTACGCCTTTGGCTTGATTGAAGAGCTTCCAAAAAAGCAGCGAACTTCTAATGATAGTCTAAAATCTTTTTGATCATCTGCAGTGGGCATTGGATATTCTGCTGGTGAGGGCCCAAGGGCCTTCCTGCCTTAAATTGCTCTAATGTATAGGCTTTTCTCTCTCTGCATGGTTTAACAACTCTGATGTTTGTAGATGACCTTCTTCCACTGCTTTTTGCTAATGCAGCAATCTACTCAATGATCATTATCCTGTTCCACAGCAGAATACCACACACACACACACACGGAATCCCAACCATCTCACACCTACACACAGACAGTCCAACACTTGCATAAACCAACAGTTCAGTACTGCAGTAAAACTCACACTGTGCACCACCATCACATATCCCTAGTCAAGCATTGCAGGAAAAGCAACCCTGGGAATTCTGCAGAGTCTAATAGATGGGAGGGAAACTTAATGACCTGTGCCTTTCTAAGGAAATACAAAACATGGAAATATCCAACCCTATTCAATACAATAATATATTAAACAATATAGCTGTAAGCAGCAATGAACGGGGTTCACAGGATGACAGAAAGGACACAAGATCAGTTGGATAACAAAGCAAGCATTATATCATGTAGGAACTATCTTCCTTTATGTGCAATCAGTGAAAGCATTACTATGGTTATCTCTCAATACCACAAGGATGACACAAGTGAAGTTTAGTTTAGTGCTGTAGTGTGGTTATCTTTGAATGCACCAGGTAATCATTTTTAAAGTCATTACTTAATGTATTGAGTTTATATATCAATTCTGGGGTCAATTTGACTAATGGTTTATGTTTCAGATTTGTGAAATATTTTCAATGTTATTTTCACTATATTTCCCATCGTTCATCTGCACAATTTAAATCTCACATTCATTTGCATGAGACAAAGTCCACTCGGTCAATAGTTATTGCTCTAGTATCCTATGCCACTGGTGCCAATGACATCTATAGTGCCACCAACTGGTCTGGTGCAGCCATCTAAGGTTGCAGTGACTTTATATTCACACAGCTTCTAAGGACATATACATAAGGTTTACATTCCAAATTTCATGGCCCCATGTCCATAGGTTCAGTTCTTATAGCCCTGGTGTGATATGGTGCCATGTAGTGGTGTAGCGTGGCCGTCTCTGAATGCAGCAACTAATCATTCTCAAATTCATTAGAGGCTAATTAATTGAGTCTATATATCACATTTGGAGTCAATTTGACTTATGGTTCATGAGATGAAGATTTTACAAGTATGTGTAGCATTAGCATATGAGCTAACATGCATCTACAGGTACAGTGCAGCCATATTTGAATGCAGCAACTATTTATATATGGTTCATGAGAAGAGTTTTGAAGTATTCTTAGCATATTTTAGCATATTAGCGTATGTGCTAATACGCATCAACTAGTATAGTATGGCCATCTTTGAATGCATCAATATTATTTTCTCAAACTCTTCAGGGACTATTGTGATGAGTGCAAAGACCAAATTTGTAGTGAATCTGACTTTTAGTCCATGAGAAGAAGATTTTTTACAATTATTTTAAGCATTAGCGTTACATAGTCAAAAAAGTTCATTGTTAATAGTTTCCTTATTTTTTAAAGATATCAATGCCAAACTTAACATGGTTTGTTACAGTAATGTCTCTGATGACCCCTAACGAGGCATAATGAACACATGCGTCATGTTGATTATAGGTAGGTTAGGAGTTAGAAACCATATAGTCCTATGCAGTGGGAGTGTGAACAGACAGCTTGTGTAGTGTTGTGTAGGTGTGGAGACGCATGCCTGGGCAGGGCCCGCTTCACTGATGCAGCACACAGCAGGTGTTTGAACAATCATGACAATCACTCATAGTGACCAGGCTGCACCAAGGGAACTGCTGCAACACAAACTCACTCAGAGCATCTCTGTGAAGACTTGACAGTGCAGAAAACGGATTTTCACCAAGTCAAATGAATTTATTGAGCTAGAGGTTTCATGATGCTTGTATCTAAACCAAAGTAGATAGTTTTTTAAGATTTTAAGATTGTTCTATACATCAGTTGGGGTCTCTATAAGCTTCAATACGAGGTCCTAAACCTAGTGCATCCTTGTAGCTGTGTGGGCTAATATAGTCAAAATGTTTGCATTGGGGTAAGTTGAGCCAATGGTTGAGCCAATGCCAAGTTCAGCAAATGTAAGTGTTTTCTTCCTAGGCGTAATGCAAGGCATTATGGCTGGGATATGAGGTAACAACAGGGCCTGGCCTATGTTAAAGGTGTAAAAAAAAGTACAGTGTTTGTTAGGTGTTAAGCCGGTGTTAAAATATGCTTTCAATTATTAAATAACAAAGAACCTATTGTGATTGTGTTGAATTGTGTTTGGGAAATAAAGATAGACATGGTAATATTTCATTCAGTACAGAAATGTGTAGGCAGCATAACTTACCCTGTCCCGCGGCTCAACCTACCCCAAGAGACCACTTTTTTTGGAAACTGGATGTTTTCTAAACTGTAATGTTTCCATGAATTCTGATTATTTCCCAGGGATACACAACATCCTGAAATATATGTAGATGTCTTTGTTAGAAATAATACTATATTTCCCTTGACGGAGTGATGCTGAATGTTAAAATGGCTCAACTTACCTCACTATCCCCTACAGAAGGTTGTCTTGTTCTATTATACATTCAATACATTGGCAGGACAATCAGCTGCCAAAGCTGTATACATTCTCACATTTCAAAGCCCAGAGATACAGGAGGTATAATAAGGGTCTTTGCCATTGGCTTTTTGGAACAGGACACCAATTGCTCCTCATCTAGCAGTGTCTGTCAAATGCCTTGCTGAGAAGAAACATCAATACCCCTCACTTCATAGAGACTAACCTCCAAGTCCAGTCAAACCATCAAGGAGACAAACACTTACAGTTGAAGTCGGAAGTTTACATACATCTTAGCCAAATACATTTAAACTCAGTTTTTCACAATTCCTGACATTTAATCCTAGGAAAAATTCCCTGTCTTAGGTCAGTTAGGATCACCACTTTATTTTAAGAATGTGAAATGTCAGAATAATAGTATAGATAATTATTTATTTCAGCTTTTATTTCTTTCATCACATTCCCAGTGGGTCAGAAGTTTACATACACTCAATTAGTATTTGGTAGCATTGCCTTTAAATAGTTTAACTTGGGTCAAACGTTTCGGGTAGCCTTCCACAAGCTTCCCACAATAAGTTGGGTGAATTTTGGCCCATTCCTCCTGACAGAGCTGGTGTAACTGAGTCAGGTTTGTAGGCCTCGTTGCTCGCACACGCATTTTCAGTTCTGCCTACAAATGTTCTATAGGATTGAGGTCAGGGCTTTGTGATGGCCACTCCAATACCTTGACTTTGTTGTCCTTAAGCCATTTTGCCACAACTTTGGAAGTATGCTTGGGGTCATTGTACATTTGGAAGACCCATTTGCGATCAACCATTAACTTCTTGACAGGGTTGGATGGCATACCAGTCGAGGTATACCAAACCTTTTTTGATATACTCAAAGGACCGTTATTAGCATGTTTTAACCACTCCTATGTAAATGGTAGATTATCAGACACTCAAGAAGAAGGTCTGATTTCATTATTACTGAAACAGGATACAAGTGGAAAATATAAAGATCCAGTCCATTAAAAAAATTGGAGGCCCCTTACACTTCAGTGTTCTGATGCAAAAATTTGAGCAAAATGTATAGCGCAGAGAATTAAAAAGGTATTGTCGGTCATTATTAATTCTAATCAGACAGGTTTTTTACATGGGCGATACATTGGAGATAATATAAGGCAAGTACTGGAAACAATAGAACACTATGAAAAATCTGGGAAACCAGGCCTACTATTCATAGCAGACTTCGAAAAGGCATTTGATAAAGTAAGACTGGGGTTTATATATAAATGCCTGGAGCATTTCAATTTTGGACAATCTCTTATAAATTGGGTTAAAATCATGTATAGCAACCCTAGGTGTAAAATAGTAAATAATGGCTATTTCTCAGAAAGTTTTAAACTGTCAAGAGGTGTGAAACAAGGTTGTTCACTATCGGCATATCTATTTATTATTGCTATCGAGATGTTAGCTATTAAAATCAGATCCAACAATAATATCAAGGGATTAGAAATCCAGGGCTTAAAAACAAAGGTGTCATTGTACGCTGTTGATTCATGTTTTCTTTTAAATCCACAACTTGAATCCCTCCACAGCCTCATAGAGGATTTAGATACATTTTCTAACCTCTCTGGATTACAACCAAATTATGGTAAATGTACTATATTACATATTGGATCACTAAAAAATAAAATCTTTACATTACCATGTAGTTTACCAATAAAATGGTCTGATGGTGATGTGGATATACTCGGAATACATATCCCAAATTAAATAAATGATCTCACTCCAATACATTTTAATAGAAAGTTAGCAAAAATAGATAAGATCTTGCTACCATGGAAAGGTAAATACCTGTCAATTTGTGGAAAAATCACCCTGATTAACTCTTTAGTATTATCCCAGTTTACCTATTTGCTTATGGTCTTGCCTACACCTAGCGAACAGTTTTTTTAATTATATGAGAAAAAAAATATTCAATTTTATTTGGAACGGCAAGCCAGACAAAATTAAACGGGCCTATTTATATAATGAATATGAATTCGGAGGACAGAAATTATTAAATATTAAAGCATCAGACCTATCACTAAAAGCTTAAGTCATACAAATGTTATACTTAAATCCGAACTGGTTCTCTAGCAAATTAGTAAGATTGTCTCACCCAATGTTCAAGAATGGCCTTTTTCCCTTTATTCAGATTACAACCTCTCACTTTAAGTTATTTGAAAAGGAAATAATCTCCCAAATATCACTATTTCTAAAACAAGCCATAGAAAGTTGGTTGCAATTTCAATTTAATCCTCCAGAAACGATAGAACAAATAATGCAACAAATATTGTGGTTAAACTCAAATATACTAAATGATAACGTTTTTTTTTGACAAAATTAAAAAAAAAGTATAATCTTCGTAAATGGTATTATCGGTAGGACTGGTGGAGTTATGTCGCACATGCAGCTAACAAAAACATATGGAAATGTCTGCTCTACCCAAAATTACAACCAAATAATTGCAGCATTACCGCAAAAACGGAAAAGGAAAGTGGAAGGGGGAAAAAGTAAGGAACTTGTCGGCCTTGCATTAAAGAATATAATTGGTTAAAGAAAATTGTGATAAATAAAAAAGTATACCAGTTTAATTTAAGGACCAAAGGATTGACAGCCGTCCCATATAGATTGCAAAATAGTTGGGAAGAGATTTTTGACGTACCGATTCCATGGCATAGTGTTTATGAATTGATACGCAAAACGACGCCGGATTCAAAACGTATAATTTTTCAATTTAAATTATTTATATAAAATTCTTGCTACCAATAGAATGTTATTTATATGGGGGATACAATCTTCCCAGCTCTGCAGATTTTGCTGCGAAGAGACAAAATCATTAGATCATTTGTTTTGGTACTGTCCATTTGTAGCTTGTTTTTGGACACAGGTCCAGGAATGGCTAAAGGATTGCAATATTTACCTGGAACTAACCCTGCAGATAGCACTACTGGGTGATCTGAAAAGTCATAGTCAATCGATCAATAATATAATAGTACTTTTAGCAAAAATGTTTATTTTCAATTCACGATCTGTAGAAACAATGAGAATAGAAAGGTTCAGAACATTTGTAAAACATCACAGTACAGTTGAAAAATACAGTGGGGAAAAAAGTATTTAGTCAGTCACCAATTGTGCAAGTTCTCCCACTTAAAAAGATGAGAGAGGCCTGTAATTTTCATAATAGGTACACGTCAACTATGACAGACAAAATGAGAAAAAAAATCCAGAAAATCACATTGTAGGATTTTTTATGAATTTATTTGCAAATTATGGTGGAAAATTAGTATTTGGTCAAAAACAAAAGTTTCTCAATACTTTGTTATATACCCTTTGTTGGCAATGACACAGGTCAAACGTTTTCTGTAAGTCTTCACAAGGTTTTCACACACTGTTGCTGGTATTTTGGCCCATTCCTCCATGCAGATCTCCTCTAGAGCAGTGATGTTTTGGAGCTGTCGCTGGGCAACACGGACTTTCAACTCCCTCCAAAGATTTTCTATGAGGTTGAGATCTGGAGACTGGCTAGGCCACTCCAGGACCTTGAAATGCTTCTTACGAAGCCACTCCTTCGTTGCCCGGGCGTTGTGTTTGGGATCATTGTCATGCTGAAAGACCCAGCCACGTTTCACCTTCAATGCCCTTGCTGATGGAAGGAGGTTTTCACTCAAAATCTCACGATACATGGCCCCATTCATTCTTTCCTTTACACGGATCAGTCGTCCTGGTCCCTTTGCAGAAAAACAGCCCCAAAGCATGATGTTTCCACCCCCATGCTTCACAGTAGGTATGGTGTTCTTTGGATGCAACTCAGCATTCTTTGTCCTCCAAACACGACGAGTTGAGTTTTTACCAAAATGTTCTATTTTGGTTTCATCTGACCATATGACATTCTCCCAATCCTCTTCTGGATCATCCAAATGCACTCTAGCAAACTTCAGACGGGCCTGGACATGTACTGGCTTAAGCAGGGGGACACGTCTTGCACTGCAGGATTTGAGTCCCTGGCGGCGTAGTGTGTTACTGATGGTAGGCTTTGTTACTTTGGTCCCAGCTCTCTGCAGGTCATTCACTAGGTCCCCCCGTGTGGTTCTGGGATTTTTGCTCACCGTTCTTGTGATCATTTTGACCCCACAGGGTGAGATCTTGCGTGGAGCCCCAGATCGAGGGAGATTATCAGTGGTCTTGTATGTCTTCCATTTCCTAATAATGGCTCCCACAGTTGATTTCTTCAAACCAAGCTGCTTACCTATTGCAGATTCAGTCTTCCCAGCCTGGTGCAGGTCTACAATTTTGTTTCTGGTGTCCTTTGACAGCTCTATGGTCTTGGCCATAGTGGAGTTTGGAGTGTGACTGTTTGAGGTTGTGGACAGGTGTCTTTTATACTGATAACAAGTTCAAACAGGTGCCATTAATACAGGTAACGAGTGGAGGACAGAGGAGCCTCTTAAAGAAGAAGTTACAGGTCTGTGAGAGCCAGAAATCTTGCTTGTTTGTAGGTGACCAAATACTTATTTTCCACCATCATTTGCAAATAAATTCATTAAAAATCCTACAATGTGATTTTCTGGATTTGTTTTTCTCATTTTGTCTGTCATAGTTGACGTGTACCTATGATGAAAATTACAGGCCTCTCTCATCTTAAGTTGGAGAACTTGCACAATTGGTGGCTGACTAAATACTTTTTTCCCCCACTGTATATAGCAAATAGAAGTCCAATATGGTTGGTGTTAAGAGATAGATGGGAGGTGTTGAATGGAGCTGAAGGATGGGACTAATAACAACAACTAATAACAACAAGATAACTCATGTAAAGCATACTGTGCCCATAATACGTATATAGGTTATAGGTTGAGAGCTTTTGTGAAAGAGCACAGTTAGAAAAATATGGCATATAGAAGCAAACCAGATGGACGTCATGAAAATGATCGGAGGAAGTTCAGGAGTAAAAACAAACAAAATATAATTATTGTAGAATTTGACTGTGTCCATAAAATGTATATAGTATGTATGGGCTGGAAGTAGAGGCCTAAGCGTTGTTGTTCACTAGTTTACTCTAATTGGGGAAGGGGTGGTGGGGTTGGAAAGTAATGAAGGGAAATATAATTTAAAAAAGGATATGTGTCTGTGTATGGATGTATGTATATACAGTGGGGAGAACAAGTATTTGATACACTGCCGATTTTGCAGGTTTTCCTACTTACAAAGCATGTAGAGGTCTGTAATTTTTATCATAGGTACACTTCAACTGTGAGAGACGGAATCTAAAACAAAAATCCAGAAAATCACATTGTATGATTTTTAATTAATTAATTTGCAATTTATTGCATGACATAAGTATTTGATCACCTACCAACCAGTAAGAATTCCGGCTCTCACAGACCTGTTAGTTTTTCTTTAAGAAGCCCTCCTGTTCTCCACTCATTACCTGTATTAACTGCACCTGTTTGAACTCGTTACCTGTATAAAAGACACCTGTCCACACACTCAATCAAACAGACTCCAACCTCTCCACAATGGCCAAGACCAGAGAGCTGTGTAAGGACATCAGGGATAAAATGTAGACCTGCACAAGGCTGGGATGGGCTACAGGACAATAGGCAAGCAGCTTGGTGAGAAGGCAACAACTGTTGGCGCAATTATTAGAAAATGGAAGAAGTTCAAGATGGCGGTCAATCACCATCGGTCTGGGGCTCCATGCAAGATCTCACCTCGTGGGGCATCAATGATCATGAGGAAGGTGAGGGATCAGCCCAGAACTACACGGCAGGACCTGGTCAATGACCTGAAGAGAGCTGGGACCACAGTCTCAAAGAAAACCATTAGTAACACACTACGCCGTCATGGATTAAAATCCTGCAGCGCACGCAAGGTCCCCCTGCTCAAGCCAGCGCATGTCCAAGCCCGTCTGAAGTTTGCAAATGACCATCTGGATGATCCAGAGGAGGAATGGGAGAAGGTCATGTGGTCTGATGAGACAAAAATATAGCTTTTTGGTCTAAACTCCACTCGTCGTGTTTGGAGGAAGAAGAAGGATGAGTACAACCCCAAGAACACCATCCCAACCGTGAATAATGGAGGTGGAAACATCATTCTTTGGGGATGCTTTTTGCAAAGGGGACAGGACGACTGCACCGTATTGAGGGGAGGATGGATGGGGCCATGTATCGCGAGATCTTGGCCAATAACCTCCTTCCCTCAGTAAGAGCATTGAAGATGGGTCGTGGCTGGGTCTTCCAGCATGACAACGACCTGAAACACACAGCCAGGGCAACTAAGGAGTGGCTCCGTAAGAAGCATCTCAAGGTCCTGGAGTGGCCTAGCCAGTCTCCAGACCTGCACCCAATAGAACATCTTTGGAGGGAGCTGAAAGTCCGTATTGCCCAGCGACAGCCCCGAAACCTGAAGGATCTGGAGAAGGTCTGTATGGAGGAGTGGGCCAAAATCCCTGCTGCAGTGTGTGCAAACCTGGTCAAGACCTACAGGAAACGTATGATCTCTGTAATTGCAAACAAAGGTTTCTGTACCAAATATTAAGTTCTGCTTTTCTGATGTATCAAATACTTATGTCATGCAATAAAATGCAAATTAATTACTTAAAAATCATACAATGTTATTTTCTGTAGATTCCGTCTCTCACAGTTGAAGTGTACCTATGATAAAAATTACAGACCTCTACATGCTTTGTAAGTAGGAAAACCTGCAAAATCGGCAGTGTTTCAAATACTTGTTCTCCCCACTGTATATATATATATATATATATATATATATATATATATACGTGTAGCTCAGTTGATAGAGCATGGTGTTTGCAACGCCAGGGTTGTGGGTTCGATTCCCACGGGGGGCCAGTATGAAAAATGTATGCACTCACTAACTGTAAGTCTCTCTGGATAAGAGCATCTGCTAAATGTAAAATGTAAATGTAATGTGTATGTATGTATATATATATTTGCGAGATAAAAAACATATGGGGGATTGGAAGTGATGCAGACAATTACAATCTATCTGAAATATTAAAGCTGATCTACCCCCTAAAAATAAAAAAAATAAAACTTCTTGACTGATGTCTTGAGATGTTGCTTCAATATATCCACATAATTTTCCTTCCTCATGATGCCATCTATTTTGTGAAGTGCACCAGTCCCTCTTGCAGGAAAGCACCCCCACAGCGTGATGCTGCCACCCCCATGCTTCACAGTTGGGATGGTGTTCTTCGGCTTGCAAGCAACCCCCTTTTTCCTCCAAACATAACGATGGTCATTATGGCCAAACAGTTATATTTTTGTTTCATCAGACCAGAGGACATTTCTCCAAAAAGTACGATCTTTGTCCCCATGTGCAGTTACAAACCGTAGTCTGGTTTTTTTATGGCGGTTTTGGAGCAGTGGCTTCTTCCTTGCTGAGCGGTCTTTCAGGTTATGTCGATATAGGACTTGTTTTACTGTGGATATAGATACTTTTGTACCTGTTTCCTCCAGCATCTTCACAAGGTCATTTGCTGTTGTTCTGCGATTGATTTGCACTTTTCGCACCAAAGTACGTTCATCTCTAGGAGACAGAACTCGTCTCCTTCCTGAGCGGTATGACGGCTGCGTGGTCCCATGGTGTTTATACTTGCGTACTATTGTTTGTACAGATAAACGTGGTACCTTCAGGCGTTTGGAAATTGCTCCCAAGGATGAACCAAACTTGTGGAGGTCTACAATTTTTTTCGGAGGTCTTGGATTTTCCTATAATGTCAAGCAAAGAGGCACTGAGTTTGAAGGTAGGCCTTGAAATACATCCACAGGTACACCTCCAATTGACTCAAATTATGTCAATTAGCCTATCAGAAGCTTCTAAAGCCATGACATCCTTTTCTGGAATTTTCCAAGCTGCTTAAAGGTAATGTAAACTTCTGACCCACTGGAATTGTGATACAGTGAATTATAAGTGAAATAATCGGTCTGTAAACAATTGTTGGAAAAATTACTTGTGTCATGCACAAGGTAGATGTCCTAACTGACTTGCCAAAACTATAGTTTGTTAACAAGAAATGTGTGGAGTGGTTGAATAACGAGTTTTAATGACTCCAACCTAAGTGTATGTAAACTTCCGACTTCAACTGTACATGAGAAAACGAATGTGTGTGTATTGTATGTATGGCTGTGTGTCTGCGTGTGTATTGTGTGTTTGCTTGTGTTATTCCCTGCATACACTTGTGTACTGTAAGAGCGGGAGTGTGTGACAATGTGCATGTACATGGCATGCATTTCACCTCTGAAATACCAAAGGCATAAAGATCTCTTTTATTTTATTTTCAAACACAATGAGAGGCAGTGTAGCGTACACACTCACAGCTGCTCCAAACGGCCAGACGCACATGCCATCTTGCACAAACAAGGGATACACATGGAATATACACACACACACTTACACACACTTACACACACATTCAAGTACACACACATACACATACATATGCAAACACACATACACACACAAACATGCGCTTACGCAAACACACACACACGCACAAGGCCCAGGTGGTGTGAGAACAGTCCTACAGCAGCATGCTGCTCTATTTAATCTGTACCACAGTAACACATGTTATACCCTGTCTGCCTCTGCTCTGCTGCACGGCTAGGAATCTGTTCCATCACCTCTGCCTCTCTTTCCGTCTGCTTCAGCATGTCTTTCTAATTTTACATCTGCCTGTCTCTTACCTTTATCTAGGTTTATGTCACTTCTCACCCCCTCACACACAATTATTGTTTCTCTTACTCCTTCGACCCTGATGATCCTGCCATCTCTTGCTCTCTCTTCTCTCTCTCTGAGCCTCCGCTCTGACTGGTTCAGTAGGTGGTTGCTGTGGTAACCAACCATGAAGAGTGGGTGTGGGGCTAATTTTAAAGACACACCGGGATCTCCTTTGACACTGCGCTATTAAAAAACTAGAAGAGAAAGAACAGGAGAGATGGAGGGGGAGGGAGGGACAGAGAGAGAGAGAGAGGGGGAAAAAGACAGCACATGTGTTCAGCAATGCTACAGTTAATTGAACAGCCACTGGTAGCTGCCTATGGCACGTAAATGGAGTCTATCTAAGCTGCTTAGCTACAGTGGACATGGAAGTCTGCATCTTCTGAGGAACTCTACAGGCTAGTGGTCCAAATAAAGTGCACACACTCAATCAATGTCCCATTGAACACTTCCCCATCAGTCAAACCAATATTGTGTGCTAAATAATCAATACACAGAAAGGGAGGGAGAAAAAGCAGGAGGGGCGGAGCATTGCTCCAGGGCAGCACTAGCAGTGAATTTTATACATAGCTGATGTCATTTGGTTTACATATCCACTGATGCCAGTGGTGCATATTGCAGTACATAAACAATTTTTAGGTGAGGAAGCATTGATAAAGTACAGTAGCCTACAATATAATGGTGTTTAGATCTTGTGTGTCTGTGTGTGGATGTAGTAGTTCTGGGTAGATTGAGGGGGTGTGGGATTAGGCTCTCAGCTCATGTCTCCAAAGGCAGAGCTGAGAGGGAGAGAGCTCATCTCTTATCTGTCTAATGTTTGAAAAATGAATGGAAATGCTGGCTGGATAGGCGATGGGGGGGGGGGGGGGGGGGGTACGCTCAGCCAGCAACATAATGGATATTCATGCAGGGACCCACATGTTCATTATTCACAGCAATGACTGAGACTCTCCTTCTCTCTATCCACTCACACACAGCAACACACACATAAACACATGCATACGTGCAAACAAACACACACACATTTGTATGTGTAACTCTGAATAGTTTTTCTGTGACTGTTTGTTCTCATTCAGCTAAGGAGTGTTGATGCGTGTGAAATCCCCTCTATTTCCTCTTCCACCTGAACCGTATCAGGCATAACCACTGGGCACACACTGGTTGAATCAACATTGTTTCAACGTAATTTGTCAACGTATTGTGAAATGGAATCAACGTGGAAAATACATTGGATTTGAAAAAAGTCATCAACCAGTACTGTTTTCATCTAAAGTTGTAAACATTGAAATTAGGGTAAAACTTCAACTTAAATACATTCACTTAATCTGGTGTGTTGGGTCATTGTCCTGTTGAAAAACAAATGATAGTCGAATTAAGCCCAAACCAGATGGGATGGCGTATCGCTGCAGAATGCTGTGGTAGCCATGCTGGTTAAGTGTGCCTTGAATTCTAAATAAATCACAGACGGTGTCACCAACAAAGCACCCCCACACCATAACACCTCCTCCTCCATGCTTTATGGTGGGAACTACACATGTGGAGATAATCCGTTCAACGTCAACAGTGAAGAGGCGACTCCGGCCTGCTAGGCAAAGTTGCAAAGAAAAAGCCATATCTCAGACTGCCCATCTTAATCTTTTCTTTTTATTGGCCAGTCTGAGATGTGGCTTTTTCTTTGCGACTCTGCCTAGAAGGTCAGCATCCTGGAGTCTCCTCTTCACTGTTGACGTTGAGACGGGTGTTTTGCGGGTACTATTTAATGAAGCTGCCAGTTGAGGACCTGTGAGGCGTCTGTTTCTCAAACTAGACACTCTAATGTATTTGTCCTCTTGCTCAGTTGTGCACCGGGGCCTCCCACTCCTCTTTCTATTCTGGTTAGAGCCAGTTTGCGCTGTTCTGTGAAGGGAGTAGTACACAGCATTGTACGAGATCTTCCGTTTCTTGGCAATTTCTCGCATGGAATAGCCTTCATTTCTCAGAACAAGAATAGACTGACGAGTTTCAGAAGAAAGTTATTTGTTTATGGCCATTTTGAGCCTGTAATCGAACCCACAATTGCTGATGCTCCAGATACTCAACTAGTCTCAAGAAGGCCAGTTTTATTGCTTCTTTAATCAGCACAACAGTTTTCAGCTGTGTTAACATAATTGCAAAAGGGTTTTCTAATGATCAATTCGCCTTTTAAAATGATAAACTTGGATTAGCAAACACAACGTGCCATTGGAACACAGGACTGATGGTTGCTGATAATGGGCCTCTGTACGCCTATGTAGATATTCCATTAAAATCAGCTGTTTCCAGCTACAATAGCCATTTACAACATTAACAATGTCTACACTGTATTTCTGATCAATTTAATGTTATTTTAATGGACAAACAATTGATTTTCTTTTGAAAACAAGGACATTTCTAAAATATATATTTTCCTTTATTACTTTCTAACCCTGCCACCCCTCCCCTAATTTACATTTACATGTACGTAATTTAGCAGATACTCTTATCCAGAGCGACTTACAAATTGGTGCATTCACCATATAGCCAGTGGGATAACCACTTTACAATATTTTCTTTTTTTTTCTTCTTTTTTTTTTGGGGGGGGGGGGTAGAAGGATTACTTTATCCTATCCCAGGTATTCCTTAAAGAGGTGGGGTACACTAATTGGAGTAAACTAGTGAACAACAACGCTTAGGTCTCTACTTCCAGCTTATACAGTGGGGAAAAAAAGAATTTAGTCAGCCACCAATTGTGCAAGTTCTCCCACTTAAAAAGTTGAGAGAGGCCTGTAATTTTCATCATAGGTACACGTCAACTATGACAGACAAATTGAGAATTTTTTTTCCAGAAAATCACATTGTAGGATTTTTTATGAATTGATTTGCAAATTATGGTGGAAAATAAGTGGGGTCATAGGAATGCTGCCTATGACCCCAAGAACACCATCCGCACTGTCAAACATGGAGGTGGAAACATGGAGGTGGAAACATTATGCTTTGGGGGTGTTTTTCTGCTAAGGGGACAGGACAACTTCACCGCATCAAAGGGACGATGGACGGGGCCATGTACCGTCAAATCTTGGGTGAGAACCTCCTTCCCTCAGCCTAACTAAGTCATGTTTTGCAGAGGGGTCAAATACTTATTTTCCTCATTAAAATGCAAATCAATTTATAACATTTTTGACATGCGTTTTTCTGGATTTTTTTGTTGTTATTCTGTTCAAATAAACCTACCATTAAAATTATAGACTGATCATGTCTTTGTCAGTGGGCAAACGTACAAAATCAGCAGGGAACAAATACTTTTTTCCCTCACTGTAGGAGTGGTTAAAACATGCTACAGTGGCTTGCGAAAGTATTCACCCCCCTTGGCATTTTTCCTATTTTGTTGCCTTACAACCTGGAATTAAAATGCATTTTTTTAGGGGTTTGTATCATTTGATTTACACAACATGCCTACCACTTTGAAGATGCAAAATATTTTTTATTATGAAACAAACAAGAAATAAGACAAAAAAACAGAACTTGAACGTGCATAACTATTCACCCCCCCAAAATCAATACTTTGTAGAGCCACCTTTTGCAGCAATTACAGCTGCAAGTCTCTTGGGGTATGTCTCTATAAGCTTGGCACATCTAGCCACTGGGATTTTTGCCCATTTTTCAAGGCAAAACTGCTCCAGCAATCTTTAAGTCATACCACAGATTCTCAATTGGATTGAGGTCTGGGCTTTGACTAGGCCATTCCAAGATATTTAAATGTTTCCCCTTAAACCACTCGAGTGTTGCTTTAGCAGTATACTTAGGGTCATTGTCCTGCTGGAAGGTGTACCTCTGTCCCAGTCTCAAATCTCTGGAAGACTGAAACAGGTTTCCCTCAAGAATTTCCCTGTATTTAGTGCCATCCATCATTCCTTCAATTGTGACCAGTTTCCCAGTCCCTGCCGATTAAAAACATCCCCACAGCATGATGCTGCCACCACCATGCTTCATTGTGGGGATGGTGTTCTCGGGGTGATGAGAGGTGTTGGGTTTGCGCCAGACTTAGCGTTTTCCTTGATGGCCAAAAAGCTCAATTTTAGTCTCATCTGATCAGAGTACCTTCTTCCATATGTTTGGGGAGTCTCCCACATGGCTTTTGGCGAACACCAAACGTGTTTGCTTATTTTTTTCTTCAAGCAATGGCTTTTTGCTGGCCACTCTTCCGTAAAGCCCAGCTCTGTGGAGTGTACGGCTTAAAGTGGTCCTATGGACAGATACTCCAATCTCCGCTGTTGAGCTTTGCAGCTCCTTACATTTTACATTTTAGTCATTTAGCAGACGCTCTCATCCAGAGCAACTTACAGTTAGTAAGTGCATACATTTTCATACTGGCCCCCCGTGGGAAACAAACCCACAACCCTGGCGTTGCACGCGCCATGCTCTACCAACTGAGCTACAGGATTATCTTTGATCTCTTTGTTGCCTCTCTGATTAATGCCCTCCTTGCCTGGTCCGTGAGTTTTGGTGGGCGGCCCTCTCTTGGCAGGTTTGTTGTGGTGCCATATTCTTTCCATTTTTTTGTAATGGATTTAATGGTGCTCCGTGGGATGTTGGATTTTTTTAGAACCCAACCCTGATCTGTACTTCTCCACAACCTTGTCCCTGACCTGTTTGGAGAGCTCCTTGGTCTTCATGGTGCTGCTTGCTTGGTGGTGCCCCTTGCTTAGTGGTGTTGCAGACTCTCCTTTCAGAACAGAGATCATGTGACACTTAGATTGCACACAGGTGGACTTTATTTAACTAATTGTGTGACTTCTGAAGGTAATTGGTTGCACCAGATCTTTCTTAGGGGCTTCGTAGCAAAGGGGGTGAATACATATGCACACACCACTTTTCCGTTAATTATTTTTTAGAATTCTTTGAAACAAGTTATTTTTTTCATTTCACTCCACCAATTTGGACTATTCTGTGTATGTCCAAAACATGAAATCCAAATAAAAATCCATTTAAATTACAGGTTGTAATGCAACAAAATAGGAAAAACGCCAAGGGGGATGAATACTTTTGCAAGGCACTGTATAAACGGCCCACTGTGTATATCAAAAAAGGTTTGGTATACCTCAACTGGTATTAAATTATGTTGAATTTTAGATTTGATTAGAAATATTTTATTTTCCTTTTTCAAATGTTGGTAGTAAAATGGTATGTTTAAATCAACATCATTGTTTCAAAGTCATGCTATCAACCTAAATAAAGAGGTATATTTAAATAAAATGTGAAGGCACAATCCAATGATTTCTGTCTGAACAGTGACTCATACTGATATATCAGGGGTAATGCACTTCAGTGAGAACATCCAGATGCCTACCTCTATGTACCCTGCCTTACTTTGGAAACAACTGTGCTAATTTCCGCTGTGCTATCAACACATTTAGACCTTGATCAGCTTCCATACTGATGACTTTTTTTAAATCCAATGTATTGTCCACATTGATTACACGTCACAATATGTTGACGAATTACATTGAAACAGCGTTGATTCAAGCAGTGTGTGCACAGTCAGTAGTGTGTTCACGTGAGCATGCTATTTAGAGCGCAACAACTCCACCCCTTCATACACACTGCAGCAGCTGAGGGATTCATCCACACGTAAGCACACACACACACACACACGCACACACACACACATACACACACACACACACACACACACACACACACACAGACTACTACACACATCTGATAAAACTTGTTCTTGGTGTGAGAGCTGCTTTTGTCTCTATTGATTTGCTGAGGTACATAATCACAGCCTTTATTGGCTTAAGACAAATGATGTTACTCTAACTCACGCATGACAAAAGCCAAAGCCAACATGCGAACACAGTGCCGAGGCAATTTTAATGAATTATAATAGACCAGTAACATCATACAGTATACTGTCAATATCACAGTACTTACAATGATTCTTTGTTCTGCTCTGTGACACATTTCTTACAGGGACATTTTACACTCCTGTTAACACACAACTGAAATTATGTCTTCTTCTTCTTCCCCCCTTCCTTCCCCCCTCTTTCTTTCTCTCCAGGATCCTGCTGACAGTAGTAGTGATCTTCCGTATTTTGATAGTAGGTATAGTGGGTGAAAAGGTCTATGAGGACGAGCAGATAATGTTCATCTGCAACACTATGCAGCCGGGTTGCAACCAGGCCTGCTACGACAAGGCCTTCCCTATATCCCACATCCGATTCTGGGTCTTCCAGATCATCTTGGTTTGCACGCCCAGCCTGTGCTTCATCACCTACTCCGTACACCAGTCCGCCAAGCAGCGTGACCGCAGTTACTCCATCCTGCACCCCTATATAGACCACGGTCACGCAAGTCACCACAGTCGTGGAGGCGATCACCACGCCCGCAAGCTGCGCAACATCAATGGCATCCTGGTGCAGAACCCCGACAGTGGCAAGGAGGAGCAGGATCTGGAGGTCAAGGAGATCCCCAATGTGTCCCGAGGGCTCACACAGGCCAAGAGTGCCAAGGTGCGGCGGCAGGAGGGCATCTCCCGCTTCTACGTCATCCAGGTGGTGTTCCGTAACGTGCTGGAGATCGGCTTCCTAGCCGGCCAGTACTTCCTGTATGGCTTCAACGTACCAGGGATGTTTGAGTGTGATCGCTACCCCTGTGTGAAGGAGGTGGAGTGCTACGTGTCACGCCCCACAGAGAAGACGGTGTTCCTGATCTTCATGTTTGCGGTGAGCGGCATCTGTGTGCTGCTCAACCTGGCCGAGCTCAACCACCTGGGCTGGAGGAAGATCAAGACGGCCGTCAGGGGTGTTCAGGCCCGCAGAAAGTCCATCTGTGAGGTGCGTAAGAAGGACGTGCCGCATCTGTCCCAGGCCCCCAACCTGGGCAGGACTCAGTCCAGTGAGTCAGCCTACGTCTGACAGAGGTTCCTCCACATGGGGGGACCTGGACCTCTGGAACAAGCAAGCTTTTTCTGGGGAGGACAAACACTCAGCCCAGCTCCCCACACCCTGAGGGGCACTAACTCTATGTACACTGCAACATTATTCAGGAGCGCAGAGGGACTTCACATGGTCATATTGGAGGATTATTGGAGAGAAGAGCTTTTTGGACTCTACAAGAGAGAGAAAGTATGTCAAGGGCAGTTTTGTTGCTGTAACTAAAGTTAGATTTGAACTGTTGGGGGAGTTGTGCTCTGAATCCTAGGTGACACTAGGTGCCTTCCAAGAGAACACACTGTAAAAAGAGGACATAGGACTAATTACTGTAAGACTATGAAATAAGGATAGTTAATTAAGAAATAAGTCTCACCTAAAAAATTATATCCTTTGCCTTTGCGAGAGGTCAAACATAGTCCCTTCATTTCTTTAAGTATGTGTGCATATGCAAGAACGTATGCCTGTGCATGCATGCGCATGTGTGTGTGCGAGAGATAAGGTAGTATGTATGTCTTTGTTCTGCAGAGTCAGAGCAGGGATGATGGGCAAAGTTGAGTTGCTGAGGGAACGAAATCTTTCTTTCAGTTATTTTCCTTCCCTGCGGCAGCTCCACTGTAAGGAGCCAAGCAGAGGAGATGCACCTTAAAAAAAAAAATCAAAAATCAACACTAAACTATACCTCAGCACAAACTGGAAACCTCCTCTCCCCATCCCCGCTCCCCCACTAGCACACCCTCCTCTCGCGCTGTATTATGTAGCCCTCCTGTAGCTCAGTTGGTAGAGCATGGTGCTTGCAACGCCAGGGTTGTGGGTTCGATTCCCACCGGGGGCCAGTATGAAAAATGTATGCACTCACTAACTGTAAGTCGCTCTGAATAAGAGCGTCTGCTAAATGACTAAAATGTAAAATTATGCATTATTTTAATTGACTGACTACAGTATGAAGCACTAAAGGAATTAATGGAATTCCAACAAGCCCTTCTTTTTCCATTACACATGAAACAGAAGTATTTACTCACATAATATTTTAACGTGTAACCCACAAGTTGTTTTCTTTATTACCAAATTTGGTGCCATGTTTCCAAGTTACTGTAAATAGTTTAATGTAATAATAATTGCATAAAGTCTTCTTTTTGACCTATGAGGCATGGGTGGGGGGGGGGGGGGGGGGCATGGCGTGCGTCAGGTTGGGCGCTGGGATTTGGGTGGAGCTGGAGATTAATCATAGATTGCCAGCTTTAAGAATATATCATATTAATGTGCTCTTCGTAAAGATTTTGTTCTCTAATGGAAACTGTATGTTTATTTCTCCTATGGACTTTGAAAAAGGCATGTTACTGAAGCATTCATAGAATGGATAGATTGTGTCATGACATGTAATTTAAAAAATAGACTGTTTAATTTATTTGCATCCTGCTCCTGTGACATGTAATAATCAGCATGCGTTAAGATGAAAAATGATATATCAGATATGAACATAGCAGCCTGTTATGGGGATATGGGGAGCGAATATTGGAATGGCTCCGGAATTGCAGCAATAATATATATGTGGGAAAAAATTACAAATAAATACATAATTATCAAAACGCCTCAGCTTTCTACCCAATGTCAGTATGCAGGCTATGAGAGGGCACAAGGTTAAAATCACATCAAGAGGACAGTTTCATACATTGAGCAGCAGAAAGACTAGGATGTGTTTACAGAGTGGATACCAACATTCAGCAGCACATTTATAGGCACTGATGATATAATAAACTGGGTGAACTCCTAACTTTAAATATACAGTAGTGAATACGCATAGATACTTTGAATTTCCGTGCAAATACTTTATGACAATGTTAGTATTGTTCTAATAACAGGGTATGATTAAAGTATGATTAAAGTTATGTACCCAGACCAGACATGAACAAACCACAGGCAAACATGAATTACTTGGTAATGAAAAGGAAACAACATTAATAAGTACGCTAAACAAAGTCAGCCAGGCAGAGTTAGTTGCCATGGCCCCAAAATCCACTCAGTACACATCATAAGGCAGACCTATGAGCAGAGTCCACAGCAGACCAGAGACATCCACACAAACAGGCTCTGGCTTTGATCAAATCCAAACATTGACCCAAGCGCTAATCACAAATCACAACCCAGGTGCTTTGATTTGGGCTTTCATCTAGGGCTCTTTGATGGAGGCTTATGGCCTGTGTCCCCACTGGAGGATTCAGTGAACTGAGCTGTGTGTGTGTGTGTGTGTGTGTGTGTGTGTGTGTGTGTGTGTGTGTGTGTGTGTGTGTGTGTGTGTGTGTGTGTGTGTGTGTGTGTGTGTGTGTGTGTGTGTGTGTGTGTGTGTGTGTGTGTGTGTGTGTGTGTGTGTGTGTGTGTGTGTGTGTGTGTGTGTGTGTGTGTGTGTGTGTGTGTGTGTGTGTGTGTGTGTGTGTGTGTGTGTGTGTGTGTGTGTGTGTGTGTGTGTGAGACTATGATTCATGCAGTCCAGGAAGAGCGACAGACAGCAGCACTCTCCTGTCTGACATTTATATTCCCAGGTGGACTTATTCCAACTGATCTCACTCAGTCTTCTGAGTATGAGATAAGCAACTATACACATTTTGGGAGTGGCTGGCTATCTCTGGTCAGGTTTCAGAATCTGCCTATTGTTATGGTTAGGTGATTCAATGGCTTTCTGGCTCTCATGTCGGAGGTCATGGATGGACAACTGTCACTGGTAATCACTGGTCGAGCATGTGTGAAAACGTTTTAACCTACTTCAAATGTACACTTTTACTGTACACTCTTCTCATGCACTGACTGGCAACAGTAGCTCTCTATAGAGTGGGAAATGTTTACACTGCACTCCTTCCTCTGCTCTGCAGTTTATCTCGTAATACACAGTGACAACTTAACAATCCAGCGGCTTTTAGCTGCACAGAGATTCAAAACCTGCTTTAGCATCAATTATTAAAGAAACAAAAATGGTACATCTCTCTCAGAGGTTAGGTTACATTATTGTGTATAGATTGAGTTTCTATGAATCATTGATATTTCACCCGTTCAGTCTAGATATGAAAGTAAAACTCCTGACCTGAATGGTTTTATGATAACAGACTGAAAGGTTGTGCAGTCAGTTACTCTATTGGGTGTAATGAAGTGTAATGCAATGGTGTGTTTTACCTAGACGTGATTCCCCCAGTCTCCCACTCACTCCTGCTGACACGCACACACTGACTCCCAGTACACCACAGCTGTCACTTGGCCTCAACTCCTCCTCAAACACCAAAATATGTTGGATTAATATGGGTAAGACACAGGAAGCAGACAGAACCTAATACAACACATGATAATTTCACCAAATAACAAAACTACGTATTTTCAAAACAATATCAATATCTATGAATAATCTATTGTAATCCTAATCCTTCCTCTGATATGACATAGTGATAGGAAATAAGAGCGGTAGTGATCCTAGACCTAATGGCTTTGCTGATAAGAGTGGTCCAGATAGAGGGTGTGGAGCCTTTTAGTGAGATTAAACCTTCAGCCAGTCAGTGGAGACAGCCACGTGACTGGGGCCTGGGGTGCCTCGGGGGGGCCAGGAGGGCACTGGAAACAGTGTGGGATTGGAGGAGGGACAGTAAAGATTGAAGGCGTGTGGACAATTTGATCCATAACAATATGAGGAGTAATGAATGTAGGGGTTGTTTATTCACATCAAGACCCTGTTATGAACCCATTGACACGTGGCCAGGAGGAAATTAGGAGTGTGTGCACGTGCAGAGTACATGCGCTGAAAACCAACATATAAGCATCATATCAATGACAGCGGAAGACAAGCAGGCACAACCTCAGCAAACACAAGTCACAAGTCATCCAACTCCTAATCAAAAGAGTAATGTGTCACAGAAGCTAAGTTGAATTTGATTTTGTTAGCAGTCTGGTTGCCGGGCCGGTTGCTGTGGTGATGGAGAGAGGACAGTAACAATGTTTAGCACCACAGAGATTATTGTACTGAGGGAAAGTACAGTATCAGCACTCAGACAGCAACAATGCCTCCTCATTCCCCTCTTTATAAAACTCTATCATTAAATAATTCACTGTGTTCATCTTTACAACGATAACTCTTATCCACACTGTTCCAAATACCAACATCATATTCAGAGTCAACAATAGTTTTTATTCTCCTGACCCCAGCTCTGCACCTAAACTACAGATGTAGGATCTTAATTTGAGCCAGTTTGCTACAGCAGGAAAATAATCCTGAAGCAACAAATCTGAAATTTCAATGTGGAAATTACAAACTTCAGAAGCCTTTTAAAACCTCAAATACAAAACAAGTTCTACATTTCCTGGAAAGTACTCCTGCAACAGGGTGATCAAATTTAAGATCTTACATCTATACAGTTTTCTAGTTGACATTGAACTATGCCAGCCACTGACCGGAAGAAAATGGCTACCACTTAAAACATGCCTCTAGCTTTCTCCCTATTTATTAGAATGATACACTACAAAAGTATGTGGACACCTGCTCTTCGAACATCTCATTCCAAAATCATGGGCATTAATATTGAGTTGGTCCCCCCTTTGCTGCTATAACAGCCTCCAGTCTTCTGGGAAGGCTTTCCACTAGATGTTGGAACATTGCTGCGGGGACTTGCTTCTATTCAGCCACAAGAGCATTAGTGAGGTTGGGCACTGATGTTGGGCGATTAGGCCTGGCTCACAGTCAGCGTTCCAATTCATCCCAAACATGTTCGATGGGGTTGAGGTCAGGGCTCTGTGCAGGCCAGTCAAGTTCTTCCACACTGATCTCGACAAAACATTTCTGTATGGACCTAATTTTGTCCTGTGAAGGAAAATGTTATGTTTGTGCTTTTCTAATAACCAATTCAACAGTGTTCATGCAAGTGACTGATTGATCGTGCATGAGAGTAATCCTCACTACCAGTATAAGCAATTTGGCAGTACACCCAGAACATTGCTTTGAGAACGGAAAG